TATTTTTCTAAAATAAAACGGAAATGTAGTAATTGTTGTTGTTTTTAGTGGAAATTAGCTAATATTGGCAGTTTATGTAACCCAAGATATTAATTGTTTTAAAAGCAGCAACTAATATTCATGTTACGTCTTGCTTTAAACTTCTTTTCTTATATAAACTTGTCTGGCGTACAGCCTAGTAAAAATGTAAACATAACTAGATATTAAAGTTATGTGTTCCAAAATTTCTGTAGTATAAGTTATAGTGCGTTCTCAAAAACTAGTTTACATTTAATTTTCAATGCTTACATTAATTTGTATGAAAATTTTTGAGAAAATAAAAATTGCATATAATATATTTTTATCAAATATTTTACACAAAATTTTTTAATTTTATAACCGGGGACGCAAACCGACCGGGGACACGAGGTCCTCGCCGGGGACAATCCCCGGAAATCGGGGACGTCTGGTCACCCTACTGTAAAGTCATATTAAGTTTATATAGCTGTTTACCGTGCTGACTGCAATTTATTTTCGTCGAACGAACAGTAATGCATGATAAACAAGTTTATTACAATATATTAAATTCTACGTACCTTTACTGCGATTTCTGAGAGCACACATACGAACGTAAGGGATTCAGCTAACATGGAAACACTCTGCGAAGTTCAGAGAAAATTCTATTGTTAGCGATCATGGGGGGGGGGGAATCCAGCATTGAAGACTCCTTTTAATTTTCTAGTGACAAAGAGGAATCATATATCACCCCCCAACTGAACTTCCGAATAGTTTATTATCTAATAGCATTTCCCCATGACACCAGAGTGTTCCCTAATAAACCAAACTTACCAAAAATTGTCAGCTAAAGTTTAGTTATGTTTGAGCTAGCCAGCGATTATAGGATAAAATCTTGTATGAAGACGAAATAATTAAAGAATTTTATCGAACTCTTTTTAGTTGCCTGGTAACAAAGGGATCTGATAAAAGAAAGAAAAAAATCTTCTACGTCGATATTGAAAACGGTTCTTCATGAAATATTCGTGAATTTTTACGTTGTTGAAATTTTTAATTTATGGGACATCCCTAGATTTTCTTATCTTATACATCAGCTTATATTTGTACTTTATAAGTAGTCGATCATATTATAAAAGTGTGTAAGTAATATACACAACATATGAATAATTTTTTTAAACAAAATTAAATTTATTATTGCATTTGTATCAAAAAATATAATTACTTTTATCATTTCAGAAGTTTCTTTGCAGGCAGCAGCTGAAACAAATTTGACCATAGTGACCATTTTAGCATTCTGGAGAGCGATTTTTACATCATTGGTCATTCTTCCTAATAAATTATGTCCGATATAATTCCAACTGAAATAGTGAGGCTGAACAAATACACTAGTTAATCCATAATTTCCACCACGCAATTCTTTAATTATTGCAGAAAATGTATATTTCCAATCTTCCATGCAATCGATAATTGTTGCTGAAAATTTAAAAAATCCTAACTCGGTTGATAGAACCGATATCACTCCTAATATATCGCTTCCAGGTCCACCACCTAAACTACAAACTTCTATATGTCCGGTATCAGCTAAAATATCTTGTAATAAAAATCTCACGTGCTGCATCGATTTGCCCAGCATATCATTAACAAGGGCGGTATGTAATGGGGCATATTTATGTAAATAAGCACATCTATGGGCAGGATCATTATAATTGGCGACATCCAGAAATTCAGACGATAGGTGAAAGCGTGAAGGATTAGGCTTGTAAACTTCTTTCATGTTTTGAATTCCTTTTCGAATATCAGCTTGGCTAAGCTGGCGTTTTTGAATGTCTTCATATAGAACGTTGCTAAATAATCGTTTAATAGAATCATAATAATCTGTCATTTTAGTAAAACTGTTCCAAACCTAAAAGATACATCTGCTTTGCATGCAAAATAAATAAATGAAATAATAATTTAAATTGAACTTCATTGGGGGAAAAAGATCGGAAACCGATAGGAAGAGAGCAACCCTTGAGTTTGGCGTTGTTTGTGATTTATGGCGATGTTTAGTAAAAATCTTGGCATGAAAAATTAATGATGAACACATTCAAATACCTTTCGTGTAGTTTTGTTGCATTGATTTCTTTTTGTTGTGTTTTGAGACCTTTATTTCGTTTATTTCAGAAATTTATTTTTCTTTTTGTTTATTATTTTCCAACACAGGAAAGAAGAATAAATTAGACACAATTGACCAACCTTACACGCAATGACTTACAAAGGGAATAATATAGCTAAGATGTATCATTTGCACTATCAAAAATTATATTTACTAAGCTTAAAAGATTATAAGCTTAGTAAATTTTTATAAATCGAGAACTACTTAATCGATAATTATTTCAAATTTTGTTAAGTAAAAATATGTATTTCAACGTAGTGCAAAATTTTTAAATAATAAATAGAAATTTTTTCGATTATTAAATTGTATGTTAAATAGTTATTGAAAAATGTTTTTAGATTGAAATTATTACTTGGTAAACAAATTTTATAGTTGTATGCAAAATACTTCGATTCACGTAATTAGCTCTAGCGATGTAATAAAATCCCAATATACAAAAACACTATAAAAAAAAAGGCTAAGCTCCCCTTCCCCGCTCGAAAAGCAAAGTAATTTAGTAATATTGGTGATATAGTTAGTGACATTTACGCCTCGTATTTCTATATATTTTGTTATAGCGAAAGATATAATTTCTAGCATAGTTACAGTTTTTAACCGCGTAATGTTAAGCGTAAAAACTTGAACTCAAAGAATTAAAAATATAGCGTAATTTTTAATGACAAAACTTTTGAAAGGCCTTTATATGAAACGCAAGAAATTAAAAATAAAAAAATTGTACAAGGTATACAGTATATTTATAATACTAAGAGGAACTATATTATAATTGTTTAAAAAGGGCCGAGATAGCCTGGTTGAGAGGGCGCTGGGCCCATCTCCAAGAGTTTGTGGGTTCGATCCCCGCCAGCCGAAGACTCCCCGTGTAGTAAATTGTGACTGATGCACGTTAAATCTGACGAGTCACAAAGTCCTTCATGTTCCTATATCAAATCATACCTCTGGGGGTACTGATCCAGGAGTTTTCTTGTCTTCTGGATTGGTTAAAAATTACAAGGCTACGGAGTTGAACATTAGTAATCGTAAACCCAAAATTGAGTCGACTGTTCAACGACGGATATAATATAATATAATACNTATATATATATATATATATATATATAAATTTAAGCCCCCCTTTTTTAAAATATATTGTAAGATTAAAAAGTCAAACTCATAGGTCAATAACATTACTTATGACAATTTTATTGATTTTCATCTTTTACATGGAATACAATTATTATCAATGAAGTGAATGAATTAGTTTGAAGTGAACACATTTTTGGATAGAAACTATGCAAAAAACAAGTCTTATCTTGATCAGGAAAAAAAAACGTCAAAATTGAAATCTTTAAATAATTCATGCATTATTAGAGACTTGCCAAATTTTCGTACATTCGAATTTTTTAAATCTATAAATATTTTATAAGGAGAAAATTAAAAAGGATAAATAAATTAAATCTCTTTTAAATTTAAACAAATGCATAAAAAATCAAATAAAAATGTCTTTTATTTCATTCAGCATATCGCTCATTTGGTGAAACAATGACGTAACTGATAATTAGAGTAATTATCAATTACGTCATTGTTCTACCAAATGAGCGATATGATCATTGAAGTGAATTAAATTAAAATCAAAGAAAAAACATTTATTAATCTATTTAAAATTGATTTTTCTGCGGTTACAGAACAGTAATTTATTGCAAAATTAATGAATAAATGATAAGTTCTTTTTTTTAAAGAAAATAATAATAAATCGAAAAAAATATATAATTCCTGGTCTTCATTAATACGTAGAAATCGGTTTAATTATACAAATTGAAATATATAAATCATAAACAAGTGTTGAAACATAATTTTAGTTAAAACAAGTATTTGTAATATAAAAATAAGAACTTTTAAACCAGTAGTTACTTTAAAGATAGTAATAATAATATTCAAGTACGTAGATCTATGTGCATTTACATTTCAGATTAGTATTTACAATTAGAACTGAAATAAAGACCAAATAAACTCAAAATATTTGCCATATTCTGAACCAAAAGAACAACTTTTTTTATTACTTTAATAACAAAAGAATTATAGGAAAATATGTATTACATTTTCGCTAATAAAAATAAAATTTAGAAAAAAGAAGATTTAGGTGATTTAATAATAGTGTCATTCAAATTGAAAGCATAGAAATTATTAATGGACTAAAAAATATTTTGAAAATTAATTTAGTTACCGTTATAATATAAAACACACAATTTATATGAAACAAACAGCCAACAGAAATGCAACTACCTGGTTAAAATCCGACGTGCTAAAAGAGTTAATTATATTTAAGAACACAACACAATTTTTTTTTTTTGTAACTCCCATTTGTTAAAAAAGTAATGCACTTCTTATTCGACTTTTAAGTGATAACCATTTATCCATTATTGTGGCAAAATTCACATATCTCTTTCGAGACCTTTATTTTATAAGCTCGAGCTTAAAAACAAATAAGAAAAGAGCAGGAGATCAGAAGTTGTCAGATATTTATATTGATTTTTTTGAAGACATAAAAAAAACTTAAGGGAGATACAAACCATTTCCAATTCTGTAATAATAATAAAAGATTTATCAATAACTCTTCATTTATTTCGTCTTATTGTGATACAAAATTTGTATAAGTATCTTTAATTTCGTTGGAAAAAATGTTCTTACAAAAAATTATAATATTTATAGATTAAGCAAAATGATCCTATTTTTTTTTTTTTTAAATCGGCGTTTAATGGGAGGAAAAAAAAGGATGAATGATAAGTACACTCGGGGATTGAAGAGTATTGATTATATTGCTAAAAAATTTAATTATAAATTTTAAAAATGTATGAAGGCTAAAAAAAAAAAAGATTGTATTCTAAAACTCTTTCAATTTTTAGAAAGATGTTTTCATCATAATTTTAAAAAGGCAAAATTTCCTTACGTGTAAGACTATACAAAAACCATTTGTCTTTTCTAATTTATTTTTAATTTTTGAATTTATATCAATGACAACATCACTATCTTAAAAAATATATATTTTATGGGACTATATATTGCATGCTGCAACTTAAAAAACCCACATTGTTTCAACAGACACTTGTGCACAAACTTTAATTTTATAATAAATACAGACAGAAAAAAGAAACGAATTATAAATAAAATTGCATAGTAAAAGGATACTAGATAGCCATAATTGAGCAGATAGCTATAATATCAAAATCCATCGTGATGCTCTTTTATTTCAGTGCAAAACTCTAGTCGTTTCAGTCGTATCTAACTATTTTTTACTTATTTTGTTAAGATTTTCAAACATGCTTCTTTATACATATACAAAAATTAGAATAAAAATATGTTTTTATAAAATCTTTTACAAGCATACCAAAATAAATGCACAGCCGTCAAATAATTTTACGATTTAACATATTGACAAATTAAGTATTTATGGTAGCAAAAATACAAAATAGAAAGTTTCATTGAAAAAAGAAAAGAAAAATACATCCTATATAGAATGTTTTACAATCACTACCCTTTAAATATATATTTTTAAAATCCTTGACAAAAATCGAGTAAAAGAAGTATACTATGCACATTAAGTCAAAAGTGGGGATAAAAAAAGTCTATCAAACCACTAATGAGGAAAGAGGGTTGAAAAACATCAAAACTTGAAACAACTACGTATTTCTTATAATCACCTCTTCTTTACTTCCCCCTGCAATTAAACAGGTTTTGAAGTTTTCCGCCTCGTCTTCAAAGTAGTAAGTTGATAGATTCTAATAGTTTTTTCCCCCCTCACTTAACATACCATATTAAGTTACGACCTCTAATGTAAATCCATTATTGACAAAAATACTAAAAATTTATATTTAAAAACCGATTTACATAAAATGAGTAGTTCGTCTGAAAATTACGAAATAACACAGCAATTATTACAATCAATATCATTCTCCTCCTCATTTACGTTTTCATATCCGCCATCAGAAGTATCATCGTGCAATCTATTATATTGAGGTTGTCTTTGAACAGGTAAGCAGGATGATCGATTTCCAGTATTTTGTCGCCTTTGATTACGGCGCGGATTATTATGTGGGACGTTAAAATTATTACTCTCATGTACATAAACATTAGTATTTGAAATATTATATTGACTTAAGTTGTTGGTGATATTTCCCAGATTAGCAGCAGACAAAATGTCGGGTCTATTATAATTCGGTTTCATCCACATGTGGACTGTGACTGTTGTCTCTAAACAGGGTGTATAACCGAATCTCTGAACGTTAAAGGTTACGTTTGTATAACGTTCGTGAATAAGAGGTCCGAATACTGTTACCATATCGCAGTCTTGGGCGCCTTTAACCACAACTTTGTAAAATCCTCCAGCATCGTTATCGATGAACAGAACTAAAGCTCCAGGCTTGAGAGATCTAAATATTTTCTGAAAAAAAATGAACAAATAAAACATTGTAGTTTTTAACAGAAAAAAAGTTGGAAAGTTCCTAACATTTTTAACTAATTAAAACATCAGGGGTCTGTCTAGACCAGGGATGGACAAACTTTATAGGTCGAGGGCCAAAAAACGAAAGAGAAAAGTTTGGTGGGCAATGTAAAAATTTCTCAAATAAAGAAACAATATACAAGTTTTAATTTAAATATTTAATGAAATGAATAAAATTGCGATTTCAATTTTAAAAGTTTCTTGTATTGAGGTTCGAATTGAGATGTACTTATTTTCAGAAACGAGGCTAAATGTTTGTCTGTTAGTCTACTTCTGAAATTATTTTTTCTAAGGTTCATAGTTGAAAACTCTTATTCACGTATATAAGATGAATCAAACATAGCCAGGGCCTGATTATAGCCTAGGCCCAGTAGGCATGAGCTTAGGGCCCACAATTTCTGAGAGGCCTCAAAAATTAGTAAAAAGTCTAATGAAAGATGGGCTAGCTATGTGTTGGTTAAAGTACTAAATAAAAAATAATTCCAGCTTACAATAAAAAATAATTCAGCTAATCAGTGACTTTTAGCAAAAATCACTGATTTCAATTATTTGTGATCGCCAAACTATTTTTATTTTGACACAACTTTTTCATTATTAGGTCTACTCTTCCGTAATTTAATTTCAAAATATTTTGTAAGGAGCCCAGAAAATTTGGTGGGCCTTGGGCCTGAATTTGTCTTGATCGCAACATAGCACTTATTTTCTGGCACGAGTTATTAAATTTGGTAAACTAGCTTTTGGTAATGATTTGTAAAACTCCAACTTGGGCACATTTAGAAACAGCTGCTTGAGATGATTGTTAGATTTCAAATCAATTCAAGCCGCAAATCCGACCTCTCTGTTTCACAATTTACGTTAAAAGGCATGGTAAAAATATCTAATTCTGTTTGAATGGCACTGAAATATTGATAGCTGAAACTAAAAATGGAGTTCTTTCAAGTCATCTTCATAATTCTTAAGCTTTTCCTTATTTACTGAGGGTATTGAATTTAACCTCGAGAAATGAGACAAGTCGTTCTTTGTTAACTGTCCGGTAAACAAATTAAGCTTCAGTTTAAAAGCTTTGAGATGGGCCAAGATATCATCAATGAATTAATTTTTCCCTTGTATCTTAACATTCAAGTTGTTCATATGATAAAGAAGATCTGAGAAAAATGCCATTCTGTATCTTCGAAAATAAAATGGATGTATATTGTTTATATTCGTAACGCATCGGCAAGTTAAAATTCTATCCGCGTGGCCCGCCGGCCGTAGTTTGCCCATCGCTGGTCTAGATATTTTGTGAAAGGTCCTGTTTTTCTAAAATTTTTAAAAAACTATTCATAATTTGTGAATATAAAATATGCGTTAAGTCACATTCTTTCAACCAGGGTCCTGCTTTTGTGAATTTATGCAAAAAGGGTCCTGTTATTGCAAAAATTGCTAAAAACCTTTTCAAGTTTTTAAATTGTAAATAGATACAAGATTCTGCTCAACAATTGCTGCTACTAAATTGGAGATGCAATATACAAATATTTGGTATTTAGCCTATACTGCTCAGCACAGAATATTAATTTCGGATGAATAATGGAAACAAAATCAGTCACATTTTTAATAATTTCAATTGACATTTTTCAAATAACACAACTTAGTAATGTATCACTTTTAATGTGTAAACTTAAACAATTCTTAAATTTATAATATTTTATTTAAAAAATTGCCAGGAATTAATTTTTATTTACATAATATTCTATCAATTAATTTTATGAATAAATATAAATTGATCAGTTATTCATTCACAAAAAAAAATTATTAATAGTAATGCTCACACGATGTTTGTAAAGGTAGAAATATTTTCTTAGAATACTACATTTGGAATTTAAACTTAGGAAAATTTAATTTGTCTCGAACCGTCTTTCTCCCCCCCCCCCCCGGNCCCCCCCCCCCCGGATGGGTTTATTCTTTTAACAAAACAATAATGAAGATAAACAAATCTGTGAAGGGTCGGATTAAAAGATAAATTATTTTGAGAAGTGCCCGTTTTTATGATAAGATATTTTGTGAAGGGTCCGTTAACGGACCCAAATTTCTTCTAAACAGACCCCTGAACATGTAAATCAAAATAAATTTTTACGACTCAGTTTTAAATAACCTCATAAGAAAGTCGGGATCCTGTTCATGTGAAGAAACTTTGGATGAAAAACGTTTCACGTCATATTTCATTAAAATGGTTAGAGTACTTAAAAAGACAACAGAAACTTATGAAAAATAAAATAAACCTAGAGATGTAACGAATATTCGACCTTCTTGTTGAATATTCTGTTAACGGAATGTTTGACCAATTATCCAGCAAAGTATTTTGTGGAAAAGTACTTAAGTACATTTTTCCGAATTTGATTAGATTTAATAAAGCATAATCTGAAATTGTATTACTTACTATAGATTATTAGAAATAGTTTTTACACTCATTTGTTAAGTTCTAAAACTTGCACACAGCTTGCAAATTTTGAGGACAAATGGAAAAGTAAAATATGAAGAATGGAAACTAGATTACGTTATACTGAACAGGGGTCTGTCCAGACATTTTGTGGAAGGTCCGTTTTTGTAAAATTGAGAAACAATTACTCGAAATATGTGAATATAAAATAAACGTTAAGTCACATTCTTTCAACCAGAGTCCTGTTTTGTGAATTTGTGCCTGTTCTTGCAAAAAAAAACTTTTTCAATGAGTTTTTAAATTGTAAAGAAATACAAGATTATGCTCAATACTGTAAAATTATAACTAAAAAATTTAAATTTTCAAAAATAAACAGCAATTGCTGCTACTAAATTAGGGATGCAACATACAAATATTTGGTATTTAGCCTATCTGCTAAACGCAGAATATTCAATTCAGACGAATAAAGGAAGAAGCGTCTGCCGAAGACAAAATTTAGTTCGTTTACATCTGTCTTCTTTCCCCCCCCCCTTCCTGGGAAGGGTTTATTCGATTAACAAAACAATAATGATGATAAACAAATTTGTGAAGGGTCCGATTAAAAGATAAATTATTTTGGGAAGGGTCCGTTTTTATGAAAAGATATTTTGTGAACTACGAGTTTAGTACTGCTGATTTTTTTAAAAATTATTTTCAGGTGAATAAATTTCCTCGTTTCTTCGACACTTAATGTTTTAAGAATTGAGTTCGTTTTTTTTTCAGTTTCTTTTCCTGTTTTTATTATAGCGCAACATTTTAACGGAACATTTCTGATAGACTTAATTCTTTGATTATTTTTTTCCCTGCACGGTTACATAGTAACATAGAATGTTGTGATTTTCAATGGTAAAATTATGCTTTCAAAAAAAAATTTTTTTTCTGTTTCTCTTTTGCTTTTTACATTAACTTTTCTTTTTATCAGTGTTTTTATTAATACAAACACCGCATTTTTTAAGAGCGTTTTCTAATAAACCTTATTCAAAAAAATAATATTGTAATATCGTAACTTATTTTCTAAAAATAGGGCTATGTGAAAAAGTTAAATTGAGATTTTCTGCGCTAATTTTTCTTTTAAAAATTAAGAGCGATTTTTGTTTTGGTTTCTATTAGGCTTTTTCTTTTAAATTTATCAATGAGGTGACCAGGGCTCGAATCCCAGCTATGGCTATTTGATTTGAATTCCGCCTCGGTTCGTACTGAGCACAGTGCTGATGTAAAATAGTCTGACAGGTCTGATGCTGATAGGTTTGATTATTACATCAAAAGCTATTCAGGGTGGTCCATTTTTTTTTTTTTTGGTGCACTGTACATATACGTTCTACCAATTGAAATAGACAATAAATACACAGGGTGCTTCTTAATTACCACCCTCTAATGTATATTTTTAAAGTAATTATCAAAATAATTCTCGTATTAGGGATCAAAAACTGTTTCTCAAAAGAGGAGGAAGCAAAAACTATCACAACTATTTTGTTGTTGATTTTAATGATTCCAATTTTGCTTCTATCCATAATGAATTTTCAGATTTTTATAACATTTTTTTTAATACTTTATATTTTAATTAAATTTTGCTCTGCTAGTTTAAGGATAAACTATTTTGAGTGAGCAGGTCTGTTTTTTAATTATTTGTTTTTATTTACCTATAATTTTTTCTTGGTTAACCATCAATTTCGGATTTCATTTTTGAAAAAAATTTAAAAAATGTTTAGTAAAGACGATGGTAACTAAATAGTTAAATACTCTGTGTGCATAAATTATAAAAAATATTTTTAGGAAATGAAAGACTTTTTAGTAGCACAACCACTGAATTCATTAAGACAGCTAATCTGAACATACTTAGTAGTATTTTAGCTGTTTTACCATTTAAAAAATTAGTTAGCAAACATCCTGAAATGAATCATATCTACATTATCCAGTGTTCTCCCTAAGCATTTTTAGAAGGGTGGCATAGCCTGCTTGCCCTTTGATCCAAATTCTTTGTTGGCCCTTTTTGTAAAAATAAGTTGCTATCTCTTAAGAGCACTGCCTCTTTATTCATATTCCATTTTAAAAAAAGATTAATTCACAGTTTAAATAATAATTACACCCAGGTAAAATTATCTGTGTTTATAGGTTTAATTCTGTTCGATTACAAATTATACAAATCTATTACAAATATTTACCTTGTTAGGATTATTCTTAACTGGTTAAATGTTTACAAGTGCCTCTTTTTTGGGGAGGAGGATATTTATAAATTTTTCAAGTGATTTTAAATTTTAAAATTATTTTTTAAATAAAAGTATTTAAAAAAAAAAAAAAAGAAATGTGCACCTTTATGTGTTAATTTTCTCATAATTTTCAGTTTAAACTATAGATAGAAGCTTTCAAGCTGTTTATCAATTAATCTTTTTTTTTTTACTTTAGTTTACTTTATTTTGAAAAAAAATTTATGCACAGACACTGTCTTTCAGCATGCCTTTAATTATTTTTATAAACTACAAATATTTTTCCTATTTTTAAAAATGAGAGAGAATTACTTTTAAACATACACATAAAATAATTTTATAAGGTAATTTAAAAATTGTTGAGTATAAAAAATTTCAGTTATTACACACACACATAACATTACACATTTTGATAAATTTCATAACTCAATGAGAAATGCCCTTTTATGAGAGGAAGCACCCTGCTCTTTTGAATTCCTAGGGAGAACTCAGCATTATCTATATATAAAGAAACTTTAAAATTACAGGCATAAATCTTTGACATTTTAATTATATTTTCAAGCTTAGATACATTTAATGAGCCTTCAATTTGGGTAAATTGTTTTTGTACAGTAAACAATTTTTTCCTTGCTTAAATATTAAATTGTACAGTTCTTTAATAACTATTCCTATAGTCAATTTACATTAGTTTTTATGTGTTCTTAATATTTATACTTCTCCTCCAAACATAATTTGTTCTGTCACAGTTTTGAGCATTCTCTGCTTAGGGAATCAAATTTATTAGCTAACCAAATATGGTGAATATTTAACAATTTATGTTACAAATCAGGAGTCTGTCCAGGCCAAATTTACTACATGTACTACCGTTTAGTGGTACCTTCACAAATTCAAGTTTATTAAAAACGGTAGTTTCACAAAATACTTTTTCTTAAAATTTTAATTTTGTATCCTGCAAGAAACGATAAATCCATATTTTTGTGTTGATTTTTAAATATAATTTTTAATTTTCACAAATTATGTCTCAATTTTCACAAAATAGGTAGGACCTCTCAGAAAAACCTAGACAGATCCCTGCAAATTATAAAATTGCACAACTTTTATCATATTAACCAGCAGATTTGATTAATTAATTACCAATGCAATATATTTTGTAATAATTGATTAATAAATACAATTTAAAAACAAAAAATTTATCAGTTTTTTTACAACATTGGTATTTTATAATGAAAATATTTCTTCATTTAAAAAATAATAAATTGCAATAATGAGTTGGAAATGGGATTATTTTTTTTCAAAAACTATCTTAAACTTTTATATTTCATCTTTATGGATAAGTATAGAAATTTTAAATAAATATTTAGGATTATTTTTATGATTTTAAGCAAATATTATATTATATTTAGATTATTATATAAACTAATATTAACATAATTATAATTTTAAATAAATATTTCATTACATTTAAATTATTATTTTTGTATTTAAGAAATATTGACGGAATTTTTAATAAAAAAAATTAGGATAATCTAAAAAGAGATGTACAACTTCATTTTATACCTGGTTGAAACTCAAAATTGTTCTCTTAATTCTCATTCAATTTGCTCATTTTTTTAAAAAACAGTATTGTAGGTAGTATAATAAATTTCTTAAAATTAATATCCAATGAAATTATACTTGCCAGATACTGCATATTAGATTTCTGTTTTCATTTTTTTACCATTCCTTTAAAAGTAGAAAATGTTCTGACTATTTTCAAATTCAATTCAAAGATAATAACAGAATTCTATATATATAACTATCAAGATATGTTACTGAAAATGATATTAACAAACAAAAGATAACAGTTTAAATTATTCATAGTAAAATTTAAATTATTCTTATTCTAATATTAAAATAACTAACATAGTTCATTAAATAATTCGATGATACAATAATCTATGTCACAATAAGTTAACTACATTCCTTATAAAAGTAGAATTTTTTTTTATTAATATCAAACTAAATTCGGAGATAATAAAAAAATTTTATGCACAAATATGTATGAATTCTAAAAATAATTATATGTATATAATTCCAAAGATATATTATTAGAAAATAACATTAACATACTAAATATTTCTCAAAATTAAATATTATTTTAATTTTATAAATTATTCATATCTTATCAAACAATCTATAATTCATTATATATATTTACATTTCTTATAAAAGTACAGAACATTAAGAATATTTACAAACTAAATTCAAAGATAATAAACAAAATACTATGATTATAACGGACAAGATAAATTAATAAATAATAACATAAACAAACCAGATATAACAGTTTAAATATTTCAGTTTTAAAATTGGTTAAGATTTCATTAAATAATTTGCATGTTTCATTGTATAAATATTGTTTTACAGATATTATATTCTTAAGATCAAAAAAATTAAAATATATTTACCTTAACCATTTCAGCAGTATCTTTACAGGCAGCAGCTGACACAAATTTAACCATAGTAATCAAGTTTGCTCTGTGGATGGCCTTATTTACATCATTGGACATTTTTCCTAATAAATTATGCCCTATGTAATTCCAACTGAAATATTGAGGCTGAACAAATTCACTTATTAATCCATAATTCTCACAACGTAATTCCCTAATTATAGCACCAAATGTGTATTTCCATTTATCCATATAATCAGTGGCGTGCCAACTTTTTTTTGACTGGGGGGGGCGAGCCAATGCAAAGTCATAAGCTTTGCTTGATTTAATATTTTAAAGTTAGTTGTATTATTTTAATATTGTAATTTGTCTAATTGTAATTATCTAAACTATTTCCGTTGTTCATGATGACGATGATTTAACTATTACATCCACACCAATTTAGTTAACAAAAAATGATTTATCAATCCGAAACTAATTAAAAAGAAAAAAAGTGTATTAAAATGTAAAAAATTTAATTAATGAATTTTGTAATTTTACTCCCTTAAACTTGTTAATGCTGAGCAATACATTTTGTCGATACATTTTAATCATAATGACATAGAATGATTTTTCGCTCCTCAAAAACATATTGAATTAAAAATAACTTGTTATTTAAATTTTGATTCTAGCATAGATTTGAATTTAATCATGAATATAAATTTTCAGTTTACAAAAAAATGGAAAATTAACTTTATCATAATTTTAATGATAAGCACAAGGTATAAAAACATTAAAATAAATGAAGGAGTAAAAGAGATTGATTTCTAAAATTAAATCTTATTTTAAAATGACTTTGAATTTTAACAAGTCTTCTGATTTTTCTGGTTAATTCCAAGGTAAAGCTTAAAATGTATACAAAGAAAAAAAAATACAATTTTAAACATATAAATATGCAGTAATTTAATGAAGTAGAATTAACTTTATCATATTAAGTTTTCATGATAAAGGACTAGGGATGAAAAAATTAAAACAAATGAAGGAATTAATTTCCAGCTCGCCATATTTAAATATGTTTCTTATTTACAGAAGTATAATCTAAACACATTATAAAATTATAACCAAAAATTTTATTGTATATTAGAGGCTACGTGCTTTTTTAACTTAACAATGCAATATTATTTTTTGAATTATAGCTATTCGAAACAAAATTGTAGAGCGAAAAAGACTAATGGAAATTTAAAAGAATCTTTCGAAAAACCAAATGATATTGGGAAATTATGTTATATACTTTTAAAATATTTAAAAATTTTCAAGTATAAATTGAATGAAATATATTTAAAGAATTTAAAATGTTCTAACAAAATATAGAGAAAACAATTAACAAAAATATCATTAACATAAGCGTAAAAGCAAAAATCCGATAAAAATGAAATCTAAAAAAATTATTACAACTAAACAAAGACTAAATCTGAAAAATTTGCTGTACTTATTAAAAATTTGTTGTATTATAACATAGTTTTTATTAAGACTTATTATTTTATTAATGAGAATAAAGAGTTACTGGTCACAAAATTAATCACAAAAATTCCCATTTAGCTTAAAAATGTTTGAAAAATAACAAGGACAGAGGAATAGAAATTATTATAGAGAAAATAAAAATCCGAAAAAAAATTATTTTTAAAAATAACTGACAAATAATCAAAGTAAACTACGAAGTTTGAAAATTAAAATGTTCGGAAAAAGCATTTCAATAATACATGACTAAATATAGAAAGTAAATAATGTCAGACAAAAATCGTAATTACTGAGCCAGGTATACCTGCAAAAAATGCATTAAACTATGTCTGACGCAAAAAAAAAAGGAATAAATTAAAAGATTACTGATCATCACTGAACAACCTTAGAATCGTCAGCCCTGTGTATAACAAAAATATTCAAATCGCAAACATAAGAAGGCTCTAACTGCTCTGACTAAATTGTCGAACTGTTTTTTTTCCTTCCAGATTACAGCTATCCCATTATTTTAAGGGTCAAGAATCTGCATACGTTGATTGAAAAAGTTTATTCAAAGCAAGTACGTTTTCGTGGGGGAAATTTCTTGACTCTTAAAATCGTCTACCCTTACACTAATTATTTCGCATATTTAAAGTCAGGTTCCCGAACTATCCGAATTGAGTCCTATGAAAATGCGATTGTTTGATCTAAGAGTGCTCGCTTTGTTTATTTATTTATTTACGCTCAATACATTGTTTGATTTTGCTACAAAATAGAAAACTTTAGCCTCTTGCTAGTTCACGTACATAAATAATTATTACCTGCACTGCACAGAATCAAAAATTAAAAGTGCGTGAGCATGCGAGATATTACAAGAAAGTGCTAAACCTCACCACTCAAGTAACGAAATAACTTTTAAATTTGAACAAAATAATAATTTGTGTTTGCACGGTTTAGCCGTTTCTGTACATGTTCCGTAAATTTTCACATTTAACTGACCAATTAGAATATGAAAAGACAATAGCTTTCTTTTATCTTTGTTTTTATCGCTTTTCTAGTAAAAATAATGTGATGCAAAAAAAACTAAATATAATTTACTACTAAATGGATATTCAATTATTTTAATAATTCTTTATAAAATTGAGCAATGTTTTAAACTTTTTTTTAAGATTTGGGTGTCAATGTCGACGATGAATATGTGTTTGCTTCTTCTAAATGCTACAATTAATAATTTTAGTTGAGATTCCTCAAAATTGTCAGGAAATCGCATGAACAATTGGAACTTAAGCGAAGATTTTCGTTTTAAGAGATCCTGAAAATTGATTAGTAGAAGAGAAATTGACATTGAATGTATTAACTATAAAATCGGTGATGGCTCCCGATTTCTACTTTGCCCAGGGACTTCTTTTTTCTCTTTCAGACGAAATCTTAAAATAAATTATCCCATTTTTTTCTTTGGTGCATACTTCTATATTCATTTTTGCATATTTTTAGCTTTCTGAAATTATTTTATAAGAAATAACTTTTTTTTTGTACATAAATTTCAAAATTCTAAAAAAATTTCTGAAGTTAATTTTTAATTGAACTATAGGTTATAGTTTTATTATGTTACGCAAACTAAACGAAAAACAAATTAGTTATAGAACTTTTAAAATTGGATAAAATGAATTTGAGAACTGATGATAAAAACGACATGCGACGTGCGTTATTTATGTTAATTGATGAAACAACAATCTTATAACAACAACAATCTTAACGCCAAAGTTTCATTGATATTGTCTATCAAAGAAAATTTTTTTAAACAAAGCTATTAAGGCTACAGGCCATCAAATAAAACCAAAATATTTTGATTCAGATTATTATTATTATCCGGTATACAGAAAGACAGGTATGATGGAATTAACAGGTCAGACACTGAAAATTGTATTTCGAAGGTTTTATAAAATCAAAAAATGGATTTAATATAAAATGTAAACTTTGAAGAAAGTATAGCTCTGTCTATATATAATATGGTTACCATATGACGTATTAGATTAAATGATATTGTAAAATTAAAAAAAGAATAATAACAGTTGGAGCTAATTTAATTAACTAAGTTATTACTTTATTATTATTTTTAAACTTAATTTTTCAGACAATTTTAGTAAATATCTGTATTGTTGTATAAATTAAGTTTATAAAACTGGCGCATATATCACTTATGGGCAATGGAAGCTCATAACTTAAAATTAAATAAATAAAGTAATCATAAAAAGTCTTAAATAAAGTATCCCTAGTCAACAAGCTAATTATAATGCAAGTCATGAAGTGTCAATTTCATAAAACTTCTTGAATCTGTTTAATATATAGTTATAAAAAATGAAATTACTTATTGATTTCAAATTAAAAATTTTCAACACGTTTTATAGAAATTGGATGGAATTTTACGGTTTTATGTATCACATATGCTCTCCTTTTAAAAAGCCACTATAAAAAAAATATTCAGCAGTTATATAATTAACATCGAGCTAAAAATAAAGTTACGTTACTCCAGTGTGTACAGGGACCTAAAAATATGGCTATATTTTAAAGAAGATTCTTTTTTGAATAATTTGCCTATTGAAACTTCTGATCAGAAAGGCATGTAAATATATATATTCGCGACGTCATATATGAGTAAACAATCATGACAGGGAACTATTTATTTATTTGAAATTCCAAAGCAAATATAATACCAAAGAAAAAGGTTATACAGCTTTTTTCCTAAATAAAAAATTCTTTTTAATGGCTTGTCTTGACAATGAATTTTATTTGCTTCGGATTTTTAAAGAGAAAAATAAAATAAACAAAAATATAACACAATAACATATATATAACATATATAACACATAATACATATATAACATATAATATAACACAAAATGCGGAAAAATAAATGAAATTTAAGTAGTTTTATGTGTAGTATTTTTCTCATATTGTTCCAGTTTAATTTATCTGGATTTAAGTCGTAATTGTCATGTTTAAAACGGAAAATAAAAATATTCAATTGATAAAGAGAAATATTCACATTTTTAAGAAATGATGAATTACAATAGTATTGATCGCATTAATTTTTTAATCTCCATCAACAGCATTTATAATTTCAGCATTAAAATTTTTGAAAATTAATACTTTAAATTCAGAAGAAATATTCATGAAAAAAGCTTTCACAAAGTTAATTAACACAATTTTAGCATCCTATGAAATTATGATTAAAAAAAAAAAGACTACAAAAATTACGCGGATAATTTTTTCCCCTCCAATGTTACGGAATGTGTTTTACCCTCCAATATTGCCCCATTCTTAAAAATAAGTTTTTTGTTTAATTAAAGTTTTTATTACTGAGAATAATAAAATATTATGAAAATTTTTAATAAACCTTTTTTAAAGAATAATTTTTTAACATTTTTATTGTTAAAAATAAAAATGGTAGTTAATTTGTTTGTATTAAAATAAAAATTATCATTATTTAAACGAATTATCCTTATTTATGCAAATTATTGTTGGTGTATAATGTTTTTTTTTAATTGGTTTATTTCACATGAGAGAGAGAGAGAGAGTAAATGTATAACAGATTTGGTGTTAGAGTTCTGCTCTACGTAATCATATGATATACATAATATAATAATAGTTATCATATAAGATAAAAATAAAATAGTAAATTTAAAAAATTAGAAAAAGGAAAAAGAAAAACACCTTTCAGAGCTGATATGATGCATTCTCAATCGTGTTATTTTCCTGTTTTTAGAATCAATAGTTTTTCGGTCATTTTTATTTATTTATTTTTAGTATATTAATCTGCAATGAATATCACTTTTGTGCCAAAAGAGCAGAAGAAAATTAATTTCAATAAAATAAAGACATTGATGATCTTAAGGAACCGATATTAAAATGTACCTCCTAAAAGTTGAAAGAATAATCGAAAATACGAAAACAAATTTTTTATTTCAAGGTACTTTATTTATTATTTTTTTATTGACTAGGATTTTCTTAAAAAATTAAAGGTTGAATTTCATTTTCGAATAAAAACAAAGTTTTTAAAAGTAAAAAGAATTCAAAATATTATTTAACAATTAAAAAAAATTAAATTCGTAACATAAACTAATCCATACACCAACAACAAACGGTAAAATCATGAACTAATGTACTATTTAAATGTATTTGATATACGAACAACTATCTGAAACAATTCAAATAGTACATAAATGCATAATTATTAAAGCATTAAATAATTTAATGAAATGAAAACATTTGCTTACCTCCTTCGATATCTATTTTACGTTTCCTTGTTATTTAATCTGTCAAACTGATGTAAAAAAAATAACGACAACGACAAAAAAAAAAAAAACAACCAAATAATTTAAAACAATTAAACAAAATAAAAAAATATGCTTTCTTTTGAAATTGATAACTTAAATTATGTAATTAAAAGAGCTAAAAAAAAAATTTAACAGAGAGCGTTTATTTACGTTAGTCTAAGAAATGTCTCATCACAAAAAGACCAGACCAGAGAAAATGTCAACAAGTCCTCCCCAGTTTAGATCCCTTAAAAGCTTAAAACACCTGTTTTCTCAGAAAATCTAGATAATTGCTTGTTTGAGACGATTTACGAAGAGATATCCAAATAAGATATGTTTCTGTGGATATCTGACATTTTAAAAAGAGGACAAAGGAGCAAAAGGCCATAAAAATGAAAATTTAAGAAGCAAAGTACTTTTACCCACAGTGTGTAACATGAGGTGGTTGTTTTTGAGGAGTCAAATAACTGTCTTTGTGGGGGGTTTGGCCACCAGAATTACATGCCAAAGTGGGTGGAAAGGAAATTGTTGAAAGTCAGGGGTGGCTTTGAAACCAATTTTTATCAGTGAAGGTTGCATTTTATTACTCCTTCCGCCAGGGAAGGGCAAAAGAGATGAAGATGGGATGCGATTTTCTTTTAATTATATAGAAAGTTATACGTGAAAAAAAAGTCCTTGTCTTAAGAAAGTTTTTTAGACAGTTTTTTTTTCTGAAATTACCAATTTAATTTAATTTTATTTTCACGAATGTTTAAATTTCAATAAGGGCAAAGCAAATTATTCGCCTTTCAATTAAATTTCAGAGGAAAATAAAAGTTTTAATTTCAAAAACAGCTTTAAAGTAGAAAAAAAAACAGTACTTTTTTTTCAAAAGTTACCAATTTAACTTGACTTCATTCTCACGAATTTCCAAATTTCAGAAGTGGCTAAGAACACTATTCGCCCCCTCAATTAAATTTCAGAGGAAAAAAATTTTAAAAAAAAAACTTTAAAGTTGAAATTTTTTTCTTCTAAAATTACCAATTTAACTTTATTTTAACGAAAGGCTAAATTTCAGAAGGGGCGAAGCACATTTTTCGCTCCCTTAATTTAAACTCCCAGTAAAATAAGGTTTTTGATTTCGAAAATAACTTTAAAGTAGAAAATAATCGGGCTTTTTTTCTAAAGTTATCAATTTAACTTGACATTATTTTCACGAAAGGCTAAATTTCAGAAGGGGCGAAGCACATTTTTCACCCTTCAATTAAGTTTCAAAGGTAAATAAAGTTTTTTACTTAGAAAATAGCTTTAAAGGGAAAAAATAGTGCTTTTTTCCTAAAGTTATCAATTTAACTTGACTTCATTCTCATGAATGTCTAAATATCAAAAGGGGTCTAATGTCTAAATATCACTCAATTAAACTTCAGAAGAAAATAGTGCTTTAAAAAAAAACAGCAAAAAAAAAAAAACAACTGAAGTTGAAAAAGGGTTCTTTTTTTTTCTTTCTAAAATTGCCAATTTAACTTAACTTTATTTTCACGAATGGCAAAATTTCAGAAGGGGTGAAGCACATTATTCGCCCCCTCAATTTCAATTCACAGTAAAATAAAGTATTTAATTTCAAAAATAGCTTTAAAGTAGAAAAAGAAATGGATCTTTTTTTCTAAAGTTACCAATTGAACTTGACTTCATTCTCACGAATATCTGAATTTTATAAAGGGCTAAGTACACTATTCGCCTCCTCAATTAAATTTAAGACAAAATTTTTTTTTTTTTTTTTTTAAAGTTCTTTTTTTTTCCTTTCAAATTACCAACTTAATTTTATTTTCACGAATGGCTTAATTTTAGAAGGGGCGAAGCACACTATTCGCCCCCTCAATTGAATTTCAAAAGAAAATAGTGTTTTTTTTCTTACATTTTTTTATAAAAACTTCAAAGTTGAGAAAAAGTTCTTTTTCGTCTTCTGAAATTACGAATTGAACTTAACTATGTTTTCAAGAATGGCTAAATTTCAGAAGGGGCGAAGCACGTTATTCGCCCCCTCAATTGACATTATTAACTTGACATTATTATCACGAATGGCAAAATTTCAAGAAGGGCGAAGTACATTACTCACCCTTCATTTAAATTTCAGAATTAAATAAAGTTTTTTTCTTAGAAAATCGCTTCAAAGTTGAAAAAAGTTTTTTTCTTCCTTTAAGTTTACTAATTTAAACTGACTTTATTTTTGTGAATGTCTAAATTTCAGAAGGGGTGAAACGCAATATAGGCCCTTTTATTAAATTTCAGAAGACAATAAGGTTTTCTTTTTGAAAAATAGCTTCAAAATTGAAAAAAAAAAAAATTTTTCTCCTAAAATTACCAATTTTACCTAAATTTATTTCTTGCCTTCATATTTATTATAACCTCTTACTTTAATTTCAGAGGAAAATTAGGTTTTTTACTTGGAAAATAGCTACAAAGTTCAACTAAAAAGTTACTTTTTTTCTAAAATTTTACTTTTTGACTATTTTTTACTCGGAATTTTACTTGATTTTATTTTCTCGAACGTTTAAATTTCAGGAGGGGTGAAATATATTGTTTGCCCCCTCACTAAAATTTCAGAGGGGGCGACTGCCCCCTCTGCCCCCCCGGCTGGCACGCCACTGCATATAATCAATAATTGTGGCTTTCAGCTGAAAAAATCCTAACTCTTCAGATAAAACAGATATCACACCAAGTATATCACTTCCGGGTCCTCCACCTAAACTACAAATTTCTATACGCCCCGTATCTAATATTATTTCCTGTAATATAAATTTCACTTGTTGCATCGATTTGCCAAGCATATCGCTTACAAGAGCTGTATGTAACGGGGCATATTTATGTAAATAAGCACATCTATGGGCAGGATCATTATAATCGGCGACATCCACAGAATCAGAAGACAAACTCGTAGGATTGGGTTTGTAAACCTCTTTCATGTTTTGAATTCCATTTCGGATTCTGTCGTGATTAAGCTGATGATATCGAATTTCTTCATGGAGAACGGTATTAAATAATCGTCTGATTCCATCATTATCAGCCATCTTAAGGTTTCAAAATTAAAATGTTAAAAAGTAATATTCGCCTCGCATATCTTTTAATGCACCTGTTAGGAGAACTTGAACTACTGCGGAAAATAAAATGCAAACAATGAAAGAGGAAGGGGATAGGAGGGGGAAGAACGTTTAGGGAGAAGTTTGTTATCAGCAAACCTTGAATTTGGCGCGACGCGATAGTTACGGCGCGAATTCTTGTATTTGTGTATTAAATTTTCATTTCATTTACATTATGTTTATTTTTATTTTATGGCACTTTCTGTTTCTCTCTTTTCTTTGGGGGGGGTATATATTAATGTCGTTTGTATTATGTTTTACTTTTAATACTTTTTATTACTTTCATATTTCTTCATTTTTCTTATGTGTTTCGTTTGAAATTAAGTAAATGAATTATTTTTCTAAACAAAATGGAACATAATTAATAATAAATAGACCAGAATTAAATTTGAAATAACCCAGGAATCAGTAACTTGCAGTTTCCAAAATCTTTACGTCATTTTGTAGTAGGAAATAAAATTCTTTAAAAAAAATTTTTTTTTTTTTAAATTTAGAAAATGGAAGAAAAATAGAAATAAAAGGTTAAATTCTGGGAGGGTGAAACGGAAATTCCGTAGCTGGGGGGCGTTTAAATCAGTGGCGTGCAATGGGGAAACGCAGAATGCAACAACCAATGGTATTCAATCAAAGGGGAACATTCAATCGACGACTAACTAACTACTGCACTAAAACTTTAAACCTGCAGTCTCGTATTAAATAACAAGCATTTTTTTTACTAGGAAATTAAATTTTTTTATTTGTTAAATAGCTTAAGCGAAATATTTCAGAATCTATATATATATATATTTTTTACATATTTATGTAAATCGAAGAACATTTTGTCGGAAAAAATGAATTTTTCACAAGAACAATTTCCGCATACATTTGTATAAAAATGAATTTAAAATATGTATTTAAATTTTTAATAAATGTTTTTTTAGCTCCAAATTTTTATGTTTTTTATTTAATAAGTTCATTTTCTACTCCTTCCAGACTTTATAGTTCCCTTCCATTACTTTATAGTTCTCCTCTTTTTAAGGGTATCTAATCGAGGAGCTTGCCTTAGGCATTCATATACCCTTAGGCATTCATATCCCTTAGGCTTTCATATACCTATGTGTAAAATTAATTTTAAATTTTTACGAGATGCAAAATTTTAAGATGTATATTATTTTACTAAAAGATAGACTGTATCAATTTTCACTTTGTAGAAGATACACCATTTGAACTTGTAAAGAAAAAATAAATTTAGAATTTTTAAAAGGAATTAATGTGCGAAAAGTTTCAAGGCGATAAATTTTTTTTTTTTCCTTCGGCGAAATTTGAAAATGAACTAAGTAGCCAAATGAGGCGAAATATAAATACCCAGCTCAGCAGCGCGAAGAGGGAACTCCCCGTTTTTCTGTTTACATTCTTTAGCTGAAGAAGGGTGAGGGGTAGTTTAGGGGAAGGAAGGCAGGGGTGTTCGCGAAAACGTGACAGTTTGCGTGACCTTACTTCTCGGAGTCACGCAGTTAGTAATAAAGAGAAGGAACGAGGGAAAGGTTGACAAGTGTAACAATATATGATGATTTGCTTAAAATTAAAACACAGTTTAAATATTTTTATATTACAAATCTATTTGTGTTTATATATTTTACATCAAAATAAGGAATAATTCAATTATTATTGTTAAACTCAGAAATATAACTAAAACAAATAATTGAAGTTTAAAAAATAAAGTTTAAAATATAATCTATAATAAGTGTTTTGTATTTAAGCTGCTAAAAAAGGTTTGTGTAATATAGAATTATATGTGACAATGGGGGTATGGTAAACTGTGACACTTTGTGACAATGGGAAGGAGGGGGTCAAAATTATTAATAAAAAAAAAGTTATATTATTTATCAACGGTCCTTTAAGTACTCCTGTTCTTTAAAAAGTGTAATGATTATTTCCAAATTATTTTAGTGAATTTTAAATTATTTCTGCTGTTAATGATTTTGTTATAAATCTTATAATCAGGCATTTTTTAAAGCATTGCATTGACACTAGAATAGGATTGTAATATCAGGTGATTGACTTGAATAGGATTGTGATACACATTTTTTGCATTTGCTACTTTTTTCAAAGATATTCAAAAAGCAACCGGTTTTTATACCTTCAAAATGAAATGTAACAAATTATCATATAAATTTAAATGTTCAGTAGCATAATTACATATCGGATAATAGGAAAATTAATTTTCGGGAAGCAATTTGGCAAAAAATATTTTATCATAAAATTTCTGAAATTCTCAATGCAGCATAATAAAATTGTCATTTTTCGGAAAATTCCAGTAATTAAGGATTCTCTAAGTAAGATGGTGTTAAAAGTTATATTGAAACTTTTGAACTTACAAATTTAAAAATGTTTTTTATTGAAATTAAATTTACAAAAATCAGTTTCCTAAGCTTATATGATTTCAGCGACTTTTAAAAGGTAATTACATATTTTATAACTCTTTAATCAGTAATATTTTGTTATAATCTTTTATGTTTAATATGCAAGCTATTACAAGACGATTGCCATTGGTTTGCTACTCTGTTCTTTGTGTTAAACGCCAAAGTTTTAAGATTAGTTTCATAGATGTGAACTAAATGCAAATGTATGAAATTGATTGCTGTTAGGGAAAAAATTGCATCCAACTAAGGGAATATCAAGAGTGGCTAGTTTGCACAGACCTTGTAGGTTGCTTTTCCATAAAATAAAAAAAAATAATAAATAAAATAAAAAAAATATTTGTAATAACTTTTGGAATTTTTTCATCTGGAATGTAATTCAAGAGAATAATTTTTTAAGTAGATTTTTTCTTTTAAATTAAAAGAAAAATATTTTTAATTTTAATATTTTTTGTTTAGGTATTTTATTAGTCCTATAATAATAGTAAATATTGTCTTCATATATAAGAAAAGCACATTCTTTGGGGAGGAGGATATATTTTTTCAATCTAAAAAACAATATAAAATCTAATGCAGAAACTGTAGCCTAAAAAACCCCTCTGGCTAGAAGAATATTTCTTCCACTAATTTTGTTCTCTCTAATTTCCCAAATCGTTCGAATACCCGAAATTCTAAAATATTTTCAGATAAAAACGTGTAAAATCTATTATTATTGTAAATTCAAAATTATTACTAAATTACGCCTTTCCAAATTATTGTCAATATGTCTGATATCTTAATCGAAACGGGATTCTAATTTTAATGTTGTATAAATGAAACGGAATTATTTAAAATCAAACCAAAAAATAAACAATAACATTATTATTATAACTTTGATGCAACTGTCCTGTCTATTATTCTTGATCCAGTCCAGACACACAGCAACAAGATACATAATAGTCTGAAAAAGTTTATGTCATTTAACCTTGAGTTTGAATTTGCATCGATAGCGAATTTTGTTCTTTCATTTTTACTTATTTGCTTATTTATCATTTAAGAGCAAACGCATTATCGTTTGCGTGAATTATCTGCAAAGCTCTTTCCGTGTTAGGCATATTGTTCGAAACACGAATGAGTAGCGTTTTTTTATGCATTAATATTACTATATGAACAGTTTTTTTTTTTTTTTTTTTTTTTATATGTTTATAAATTTACGTTTCTCCTTTGAAATATTTTTCAAAAAATATTAGTAAAAATTTATTGAAACACTACTATTTCAAGCTAAAATAAAAAACATTTTTCGATGAATGTTTATAAGCTTGTTTATACTTTAATTTCTGTTATTTATAAAATATAGAAACTTTCCAATTAAATATTTGCTCATTTTAAGAAAACAATTTCTGCTGCAGAGTATTTTGTCGTCATAGTTACTATTTTTTTTTAGAATTGGGTCATCGATTTAAGCATTATTCATGGCGCCAGCAGAATAATATAAAAGGGGGTGCTACCCTCTAACAAACTAACCCCTCCCCCCCAAAAAAAAATATTTAAAATTTTATGTTATTGCATTTTGTTTTGTTATTACATATACTTTCATCTCTTAATTTTTTTCAAGATACATTTCTTCATTGTTAACAGGATATTTAAAAAAAAGTACGAATTTCTTGTACTTTGCAAATTTTACCACAAGAAACTGTATTGATGGCGCTGGCATAGCTACTGACTTTGAAACACAAATAACTACAAACAGTAGTATCGTACACGTACGGAACCATACAACAGTCGTACACAAACAGTAGTTTGTGTACGCTTAACATTGGTATTTATTGTGTTGATGAAGTTTTACAGTTGTGGTGAGAAGTCAGTTTGTGTTATACACCTTTGTTAAACCAAATAACTAATAAAAACTATAATATTATTTATATTTTATTAAATGAAATTTAAAAATATAGCTTAGACATCTGCCAAGTTTGTGCATGTGCATAAGAAAAGAATCAAAGATGACTCAGAATTCATTGAAAAAGTTATAAACAGATTTGGACCATAGAGTTGATATAGATGTTCAAATCATAGACAACTCTATGATTTGGACAGCAAACAAGACGATTACAATTCTTGTTTGATTAAACAATTTTTTAATTGCTATGTATCAATAATTACTTAATTATTTGTTTTTGAATAAAAATATTTTTTATAAAAAATTTTATAGCAAAATTATTTTTCTGTATCTCTTTAATTTTTTTTAATTATTTTTTTTAAAAAAAAGCCAGGGGGGGTGCAAGTGCACCCCGCTGCCGGAGCCCTTGCTTAAGTGTATTGATCTTAAAAATTATAAAATTATTTTATTTATCATCATACATATTCAACAACGGTTAAAAAATTTAATTAAAGAATTAAAATTAAGAATGCAGTCTAAGATAATTAAAAAAGAATCTTACTTATTTAATTCAGTATAAATCTTCAGTCTTGTAACACAAAGAAAAAAACGTGATTCGACTTTCAAAGCAGATTCGCAATAATAGTATACTTTCATTTATATTAATCCGATACAAGTCAAAGGAATATTAGCAAGTGACAGCCGGCTATTACGCTAATTGGATTATTTATAACCTAAAATTTTTTGTTCTAAAATAGTATAGAAAGCTACTCTGATAAGTAAGCAAATTAAAGGAATAGTTGAATTAATAATATTAATAATATTAATTTAAAGTAAATTTAGATTCTAATTCTAATGCACTTATTTGCTAATATAACATTAATAATAGATTTTTTGTCCTTTCGTACTAGAAAAATAAATAAAAAGATGGAAACCAACCTGGCTTGTACCGGTTTGAACTCAACTCATGTAAAATACAGGTCGAACAAACCTACTTTTATAACTATTGACATCGAGGCAGGGCCGGATTAAGCGTTAGCGGGGTCATAGGCCGTTCAAATGTTTGGGGGCCCTTAGATTAAATTTTTTTTCTGGTATATTTTTTATTTATTCAAATATAAAATTATTTATATATCTTTTCATTTAAGAAAGCAATATGATTAACATTATGTAAAAAAAAATCGTATTTTACTAATATATATTTAAAACTTATTATTTTATTAAAAAATCGTTGTTTTTCTTAATTTTTAAATCCATTTTAAGGGGGTCCCTAATCATTGGAGGTATTTTAATATGAACTTTAAATTAATATTACGCTGTTATCCGTATGGCAACTTGATAAATTAATCAAATGTATTGGATTTTTATTTAAATAAATTTTATTAAAATTATAATTAATTAGGCTGGCGCCCGTTAGATACGGCCCTCGTATACACCGTACATCGCATGGATGTCGTCGAAATACGGCGCTCGTAAGGAACGATACAAAGGGGTCTGCATTAGAAATCAAGCTCAATCAGTCCAGAACCTTTGAATGTAAGAAAAACTCCTTGGTTGAGTATCACTGATTTAATGCCTGTAACAAAAAATATCAGTATAATTCAAAAATAAGTGGTCCCCTTGAGTAGATCTAAGCGGTTTGTCTATCACAGCATTTTGCATTAAAAATGTCATGCAATTGTGACACTTATCGTCACTCAAAGTTAAATGCAAGAGAAAGGGCTAAAATTAGCTTTCTAGAACATTTCAAAGTCTGTGATTAACTAAAACTACCCAGTGGGAAATCTCCATCTGCAAATAGTAACTTAAATACGGATAAGGTGATGCATATAAACAATTAGGTTAAAATCTTACAATCTCACCCCCATCATGGGACTAACTCGAAAACAACAATAACATTTGGACTTAACCTTTCCTCAAATTTGTAACTTTTTATCACGCAAAAAATACGATATAAAAACAGCCGAAGGAAAGGGTTAGAACAGTGTTCAACCTTTTTATCAACGTTTGATAATTTTACTACGGCCCACTAGGGGGGGGGGCATTGATTGTTTATATTTTAGATTATTTTGATTTATTAATTTTAATTTAATTGCATTTAAAAATGCCTTCAAAATAAAATACATTTACACCAAAAAATAAATATAAAGTGATTCAACATTTTAACTTACTAGAACGTTAAATCAATGAGTCACGATAGAGAGAAAAGACGAAGTTTTTTATTAGTTCCAATGTAAATTTCGCACCACGCTTTCGTGTTTTATTTATGATATTTACAGTTATGATGATTGATTTTTTTAAAATTAAAACTAATTGAAAGCGAAAATATTTGCTGTGGTTTTTTTTTTTTTTTAAATTTTAAAACATTAAAAAATTTATGTCACTGTACCTTCGGGGGCCCCTTTTTCTTAAATAAAATTTTAATGAAACACAAATATTTTTAATTTGGGGTATAAACCTAGGAATTTAAATTCGGTTTCAAAGAAATGGGCAGCCCGGTACCATTTGATACACGGACCGGGGGTTGGGGAACACTGGGTTAGAAGAACAATCAAAGTGAGTCTACTCTAGGCTGATATCGAAAGTAAATCACCATGAATAAACATGGTAAGTCTCTCTCAATCTATTCTAAAAGAATGTAAGCACTAATGTTATAATGCTGAGTTGGCTTAATCGTAAATGTTAATGCTAAAATGGTTAAATTATAAATAAAAAAAATTGTTTAAATTTAAGACGAGTAAGTTTCCTTTATTTAATTTAATTACCATAAATATACGATACGGCCTAAAAAGCGCCACAAGTGGTACACCACTTGTGGCTCCTTATATAGATGACAGTGGTGCAAAACTGTCATCGATTTTTAAGTTTTTGAGCTAAGACGTACTTTCACCCTTGCCGTGTTCTCTTGTCAAACGAAAAGCTTCCAGACTATTTGCAAAAGGTCAAAGGCTGGAGAGTTTGGCTTGTCCAAGTGTCAAAATAATTTTTAAAAAAAGTAAAAAAACACAGACACGCAAAACCTGCACATTCGAAGATATTAAGTTTTTTCTTAACCTTTTATTGAGCCATTTTTTTTTTCTAGAATTACTTTATAATATTTTTTGGATTGAGAATGATTTATAAAAATTTTAGCATTCCATCCAAAATTAATTTGTTTTTTTAACATTATGTTTCAGGAGGGGCTAATGGATTAGATTTTCAATATTTTTACCTACTGTAAAGAATTGGCCATAAACTTAAGCCGAATTTGTAAGTTCTGTGTTTATAACTACGAACACTCTAAGAAATTATCAAATGAACGAACAAAGTCCTTCATAAGTAATATTTTTTTCAAAACTTATAAGCTGTAAGCAACCCAAATTATACTTGAATAAAAACTGTCTGAACAATTAAGGTGGTAAATATACTCCACACAACTTCATACAGAGTTAAAGTTTCTGAACTGAAATAAATGATGGAAAAAAGTAATGTTAAAGTAATTATTAATGAAGAAAAGCAATATAAAATGTATGCTTAATTTGTTACATTATATAAACGCACCTCTGATGATTTTTAAGAAATAATGACAAAACTTTAAATTTTTGTTAAAATCTTTATTTGTCTAAAAAGTAAGAATCCAAAACTAACTACATTTATGGTCATTAATAATGAAGCTATTCAGATTCTAGTCTTAACAAGTCTGTAGCCATTGCCTTGATGCCTTCCCAGGCTTCCTGTGCATTTGGCAATATCTGTCTCCGTGGAAGAAGAAAACCAAATTGTCCCAAGTCTTGTAGTTCAACAACATAACTATATTTGGCTCCGATTACACTAGTTACCCAGTCTCTTTCTCCACCGCTTACGGTATCTAAAAATTCCGAATGAAACAAAGTTACAAAAAATATATTACAAGGTGCGTAGTCAAATTATTCAAAAAATAAGCACCTTTTGAAGCACTTTAAGCACTCAAATAATATTTTTAAGCACTTTAAAAAAAAAAAAAATCACAATTAGGTAGGATTGGAAAGTTTTTGACAATTGACTGTTTTATCTGGTTTTAACCGTTATGTCAAAAAAAAAAAAAAAAAAAAAAAAAAAAAACCCTTTCGGCATTGATTTTGTCATAATTTTTGAATCATGTAAATCGAATGGAGTTTTAATTCGTTACGAACTTACGATACATCGAAATAGATTGTGGTTGAATTAATTGTGAAAACATTGAATAGAACAATGTGTACAATATCTTTCTGCATAATTCGTAGCGAAAATCAATTAAAGGAAAAATCTCATTTTGGAAAAGGGAAAAGTAAGCACTTTTTAAAAACACCCAATGAAAAAAATACCTTTAAGCACTTTTTAAAAACGCTACGCACCCTGTATTATGGTTAAGTAATGTGTGTTATAGGTAAAAAAAAACTCTCAAATTAAATAAGGTGTGCTGTAATTGCTGCCATTTACTTTTTAAACACCTTGTCAAATTTAAAAAATATTCATATTGAAGTCGCAAATGAATATTTAAGCCAGCAAGAAAAAAGAACGTTAGTAAATTATGAAAAATCACCATTAAGGAAAACATTAAAAACATCAAAACAGATTTCGCCAAACCAAGCACCAAAACCAGTTATTACCAGATTAAATTTGAAGATGTTTATATTGCACCTCTTATATTGATGTATATATGTTTATATCCAGACGAACGGCTAAGGGAGTTCTTACTATAGACAAAAAAAGTTTTTCTATAGTAAGAACTGCCTTTGGCATTCGTCTGGACCCGTGGCGTTGGCTATAGTAACGAGGTATTGCTATTTCAAGTAGGGATGTGGGTTCACTGTTTAGGACAGGTTCTGGCTCCGGTCTTCGGCCGGGGAATCTTTTCTTCGGTCTATTGTGTGAGCCCTAAAGTAAAGAGAAGCTAACATCCCTGAAATGGGCTATTGTTGTTTCCACAGCAGCAGACGGCCTCAGACTTTGTGTCGGGGGGAGTTCTTTCCGTAGACAAAATATAATAATTGCTTTTCATCTTTCAGTTTCTTCTGGCTATTTAACAGATTTCGTATTTTCAATCTCTCCTTTTTGTTAATCATTCATCAGAGTTTTCACAAGGTAAACATTTTGTGATTTTAAACTCTGCGTCTTACACTGGATTTTTGTCAAGGATTTTATAAATATAAAGGGTGGAAATTATTAAAAAAAAAAACTTCTAAATATTAAAAATGAATTACGTTTAACAGTTCAAAAATAAATTTTGAAGAAAATGAATATTTAGTATAGAATACAATAAATAACGTAGAAAGTAATGTATGAGCGCAAATATTAAATAGTTAGCTTCAGGTAACTATTTGTGTTTATAATATTGCTTTCTACGTTAGTTTCTACCCATCATGTTGTGTAACCCTTTGAGGCAGAATTTAATGTATATTTTTTTATACTTTTTCAATTATTTGGCATTAATTTATGTTAAAATAAGTGAAAAATATTATATTCAGCATTTTAATAATTTATGGTAATGAAATACAGCATGAAACACTGGTGTTTTATTTATTTATTTTGCATTAAAAAGTAAAATCTTCTAAACAACTCTGCCAAACAATGATTTTTCCAATTTAGTTATTTAGATCAAATAGAAAAAATTATTAATCATTTAAATCTTTAATTTACAAAATAAATTTCCGAGAAAAAAAAATTTACACTACTTTTTTTTTTGGATTTTATATTTTAATAAAAATATAATTTGGATAAATATTACCAATTTTCTAGTAATTATTAGACTTTTTTAAAGACTGCGTCAAAGGGTTAACAAGTTACATTTTTTAGCACGTAGCAGAAAGGCAAATCTTTTTACATGCAACAACAATTTCTTCAAATTTCAGATTTCAAAATTTACAAGCAGCATAAGAAAGCCTAAACTGCGAATTTAAGTTGTGATCTATTTATTTCATTTAGAGTAGATAGTAGATTAAGTAAAACGAAACTTTAGAAAAAATTGTGATTTGATAATTTATTTATTAAAGGGAAAATTTAGTTACACAGAAAAGGAAATTTATAAAAAAATAGAATTAAAAAAAATTGCATAAAATTTAAAAGATATATCTATTATAATTTAATAATATATCTTGTTATTTTTCATCCAAATAGAAAAAGTTAAAAAATTAAAATTATTTCTATTCTAAAAAGAAATCAGGTAAGAAAATAGCGGATAAAAGGATTTGGATATTAGATTCCCGTTGTTAAAAATAACTTAAATTATTGTAATTTTATGGTTATATAAATTGGTTGAAATTATCCTGGGTGACTTTTTATGCTAATTTTATACTGATTTTGATCCCCCAAAACCTTTACCTATTGTAGATTTCGTAGAGACTTGTTCTAGTGCTCACAAGCTGTCTTTGAGAGAATTTCTAGCTTATATTCATATTGTAAACCTGGTTTGTAACCTTTTGCAAAATAGATTTATCGTGATAGTTCCTGCCAAAATGTTAGCTTTTAATTGTGTGTGTTTTAATTCGAAAACCAGCTTTTAAAAAAATTATTTTCCTCAGAATGAAATAAACTTCAGTGCAAACGATTTTTAGTAATTTTCATTTTTACTCTCAATTTATTTTCCTCTATAGATAGTCACAAATGCGTGAACAGGTGTAAATACAACGGTCGAATTCGAGCACTTCCTTAATATTTTACACCTATAGAACGGGTTTCCGATGATATAGCTTTTATTTAAACCATTATGCAAGATACATACCGACATTTTTGAAGGTCATTACAAATAATAGTCTTCTAAACTTCTTTCTTTAAAATATTTAAGGAAAAAACAGGTAATCAAGTTAATAAAACATTTTTATAAATTCTCTAAAAATAACTTATAAAAAATTAAACCGGCAGCACATTTTATGTGATATTTCGTAAAATAGGGACATTTAGATTTATTTTAATAATCACATAACTATAGACTATATTTTGAAACATATTAGAACTTAGTTTTGTGTTACTAATTCTTGCAAGATTTATATAAAGTTCGAAGTGTCAGCTAAATGTTTTATTTATTTATAACTTACACATATGATAATATAAAGTATATAACTTACACATATGATTTCCCGACGATCCGACTGTGTACGTCGATCCACTCAATCTTTTAATTGCAGCAATTCCGACTTCTGCTAGTCTTTTCTATTATAAAGAAAAATTTTAAAAATAAAATTCTTTGTTTACTTTAAAATACAAAGATATTTAAATATTAGGAGGATTAGAAAACACAGCAATATAATACGTGGCCCAATTTGAATATTACGAGAAGATATAGAGCCATGCAGTAATACAGTATATTAAGCTCGAATTTCTTCATTTTAGAGCTATTCAATACACTTTTACACCTATAAAGCCACATTGTGGGCCCCCTAATTGGCCTAAATTAATTTCCTCTGGTAGGGTACACTAGTACCCTGTAATATAATACGGGGCCCAGTTTTTTTAGTATTAAATTTGAAACAGAAAAGGGGCCGTTAAAATAAATATTTCGACCATAAAAAATATCCGTATACCTGCTCCGGGTAAGTAGGTGGTAACTTTGAAGTGTATCCCCAAGGTGTCAGCCATCTTTGTGAATAGCTGTGAAAATCTACAAACATTGCTATGCGATCTTTTAGATTGCATGTCATGAAATCACTCACAGCTTTCACTTCTGGTTCAGAAAAAGGTTTTGATCCAGCATATGTATGAGAACATGGTCTTGGACTTGATCCAGTACCTATGAAAAAATAAATCATATGCAATTGTGAACGTTGTTTTCATAATCTTACTTCAGCCAATTTTAATCTTTTGGAAAAATATTTTCTCGGTTGAGTTGATTGGCTAATATTAAGTATTTATGTAAATTAATGTTTATAAACTTGTCAATATTTGTAAACCGATGAAACAAATATAAATGTAACATTTTCGGTAAATAATAGAGAACAAAAAATAAGTATTGTGATCCCGCATTTAATAAAAATTATCCAGAATAACCTATGTTCGAATGAACGTATTTTTCATGAACTGTGTATCAGTCTTACTTATTCAAAAGGATTGATCTCAAATATGTTAAGAATTAAATTATGAAATTATACACAAAAAAGTATTTGAACGAACTCTGATTAAAATTACCTTCTGACGACGGATTTGGATTATTGATAATATTGATCAAATTTTGTATTTTGTCACTCAAAATTGCTGTTTAAATTGATGAAAAATTTGTTTGTCTCAATTCAAATATACTCTGGTATTAATAAATAAAAAATTTTAAAAATTTTTTTTGGCATGGAATTATTGAAAGTTATGAGAGTTTTATAATAGTGTATAAAAAGTTAACGATTTAATACTTTAATTCCAGAAAATTTGTGAAATACTCGAAAAATAAAGTTTCTAATTTTTCATCAGCTCTCCGGACAAAACTAGCGTAGCTATGTTTTTCCAGATTGCGGCCACCCTTATTTTTTGAAGAACAAGAATCTAAATCCTTCGAATAAAAAACACCTATGTTTGCATTAATCATGCATTATGTATGGCATTAATCATGGAAATTCGCGCTTCCAGCAAATATACGATTTTAAATCTCAAATGGTACTTTATTGAATGTTAAATAGTTTGACTTACTGTTCCATTTAATATCCCAGTTTCTGTTAGCATCAACACCTACACAATGTTTAATGTTTGAATCCCGAGACCTTGTCTTCCTCCAAAGCCTATCCTGAAAATATTGCACACAGATTTTCATAATCTTAAAAATATTTAAGCCAAACTACTTATACTACAATATTAACTCATAAAAAATTTATAGCTTTAGCAATAATTCTTTGCGTATTCAAATCCACATTTCTTATAGTTTATTTAAGGGAATTAATCAGGATTTATATACAGGGTGTCTTGCAATGACTTCATTAATACGCAAGTTTAAAACCCTTATCATAAATAGGGTTAGAATCTACACACATTTGGGTTAAGTGAGGGGGAAAAAACCGCTATAAGAATATGGCAAATTATTAAGGGAAAGAAAAACATTCAAAACTATTTTTTTCTTTTCAAAAACAGTCGGTGAAATTCGATCCGACTTTTGAGTTTACGCCTACCATTGGTAAACTCCGTAGCCTTGTAATTTTGAACCTGATCCAGAAAAAAAGAAAATTCCTGGATTAAATATTGGGAGAAATTTGCATTCGTGGAGAGAACTTTTTTGATGGAATTAACCTACATTTACGTTATACGGAGAGGAAAAAAAATCACAAACCTCTTATGGCTAGTCTGACGACAAGGGGACTAACCCATGATCCGTTTACCATTAAGGATATTTTACGTCAGCACTGTGGTCGGTGCGAGCCGGGTGCGGACCAACCATTGCCCGGATTCGTACCTCATTGAAAGGCAAATTCTCTATCCTCTGAGCCATCCCGGCTCAAAACTGGTTTAACTTTTATTTTTATTTTATAACCGTTGTTGAACAGCTGACCCAATTCTGGGTTTACAACTACCAATGTTAAACTCCGTATCCTTGTTATTTTGAACTCAATCAAGAAGACAAGGGAACTCCTGGTTCAGTACTCCCAAAGGTAATGATTTGTTATGGGAACTTTGAATACTTTGTGACCCAGACAGATTTAACGTGCATTAGTCACCATTTACTCCTCGTCGTTGGGGATCGAACCCACGACCTCTTGGACAACCAGACTACCCAGGCCCCTAAACTAGTTAAATTGTGGTTCACATTTGGGGGTATTTATAATAATATTCTTTAAACTTATTTCTTCTGACAGTCAAACCGGTTTTTAAATTTTATACGCCAGCCTACCTGAATGGTGATTTGTCAGTTTTTAGTTTGTTTTTTTTCCTAGCTTAAACATTATCTTCCAATCTCTAATGTGTTTACTTCATTTTTGAAGAAGATTTTAAAAATATGTTTTAAGATAGACGGTTGCAGAACACACTCGATGGAGTATGCAAAGGAACTTTGAATTGTAAAATCCAGAATTGTGAAACATTCCACAATTGCTTTGATTAAGTGATGCAATCAATAAAAATAGAAATTCTTGATGCAGGAACGAAGCAGTTAAAAGCTCATGCTTACAATGTATTTTTTACGATAACAGCTCATTTACAGTTATAATTATTTAAACAGGAAAGAATTATATACTGCAAATATTTATAAAAATGTTGATATTAAAAACATTTTTAAAAGTTATAATTTAAGGGGGGAAGTCAATAAATTATTTCATCAGTATGAACCAAAAAAATTTTGTTTACTATTTTTTTATAAATAAATCTCCCCTGAAACAAATATTTAAAAAAATATTTGGTCCAGAGAAAAATAAGCTACTGAAGTTAGTTTGGGAAGAAAAAAAAAAGAAAAATTTTTTTTTGACAAAATTTAAGCTTTATCCCCTGTAAAGAGTTATTAAATGGAGAAAATAATTTCATTGAAATGTAACACAGAATTATCTTTACATGCCCTTGAATCATCGGGATTTTGTTTAATTTTATGTAATGGAACCGTGGTTGCTCAGGGGATAGTGTTCGGCTCCTAATGAGGTTATCCGGTTTAGATTCCTAGCGATGGCTGCGCGAAACGAATTCCGCTCCTGGCTTGCACCGACCACAGTGATGAAGTAGATATCCACAGTGGTAAACGGATCATTGGTTAGTCTCCTCTTATCGTCAGGTTAACTGTAAGAGTTTTTCTGGTTTTCATCTCCTTGTAACGCAAATGCTGTTTAGTTTCATCAAAAAGTCTTCCATGAAAGCAAAGTTCTCCCAATACTTGATCCAAGAGTTCCCTTGTCCTCTGGATTGGGTTCAAAATTACAGGATTATTAAGTCAAAGTTCTCCCAATACTTGATCCAAGAGTTCCCTTGTCCTCTGGATTGGGTTCAAAATTACAGGATTATTAAGTTTAACATTGGTAGTCGTAAACCCAAAATTGTGTCGGATGTTTCAACGACGACCATAAAATAAAATTACATCTAATTGAATATTATGTACTATTTAATTTCAAAAGAATCCAGCTGCATCTATGTTGCGACAAGCTCAAGCTTCGCGTGGTCATCTGTCCCGTACTTATATTCCTCCTGAGCTACACAAATTTTGCAATTTTATCACAAAAAAATAATATTTTAAGCTCTTTTTTTTGTTAATTTTCCTCTGCAAAGTGATTTTTTAATTATGTAATATAATTGGATACACACTTGTCAGCAGGAGTTTTTAGTTATAAAGAAAAAGTATAATCTAATAAAGGTAAGAAATTAAGAGTCCAAATAAATTCTAGACAGTTTTATTGTATATAAATGTTTTCGTATTAGAATCCAATGAACTTTGTTTCATGACTAAAATACGCATTAAAAATTAAATATGCAAAAATTCTTAAATTTTTTAAAGTTAAAAATAACTAAGCAGTTTAAATTTTTTGATAAGTTTTTTTTATCATACTTATTAGTTAACTCTTTTTCTTAACTATAGATTTCTCGGTAAAAATTGCTTTTTCTGCAATTATTTAAAGCTTGAATCTCAGGAGGTCAAAATGATAAAGAGTCACATTTTAAAAAAATACTTTTTGTGAAAACCTAAAAATCATGATCAAATATAAAACAGAAATTTAAATTAAAACTTTCCATTTAACACTTAGAAAGAGAAACGGGAGAATATACATACATAGGGTGTCTGAAAAGTACGTAAGCGATCAAAGCCCAAAAATCTGAAAATAAGTGGGTGATTTTGTATAAATGGTTTCAATGATACCAAACTTGATTCCTTATCCGATCCCTGAAGCTGGGTGGCATCCAGGGACAGGTGTCCCGTTTAAGTAGTGATGTCCATAATATTAAGATGTCCATAAATAGTTCTTTTCCTCCAAAATATAGACATGTCTATTATTTTGATTTGACAGATAATTGAAACATTTCCTTTTTAGACCCATTTTCATTTCAAGATTACAACGCCATCTGTGAACCGAAGTTTACAAATATGCAAGTCTTGTTTAGTTACTTTTTCTGGAGAATCCAAAATTGCAACAAAAAAAAAATTGGGTTTCTACTTAAGATTCTATAATTGTTAAGGTAGAAAGGTCATTGAATGAAGCGTATATTGAGAACATTTCTCATACGTATATTTAGATTTTTCAAAGTTCTTTAACAGTTTCCATAAGCTTCGAATGTAGTCAGTGCGTGCTTAAACTCCAAATGTTAATTCCTCATTTTATCATTTCAAAATTCGATAATATAAAGTAAGTCAAATTAAAATTCTAATGTTAAATTACGTTTCCTTTCACAAAAAGAATTACAAACCTTTGTTTGACAATAATAGTAGCCGTCAGGATTTAAAACCGGCAGGAAATACCAATCAAATTCTTCGACTAAATCATTTACTTCATCACACTCATCGTATAGACTAGTCAACTAAAAGGAGAAAAATGCATAAATACAAAAAATATAAGAAGTAAATAAACAAATTTCTGTATAATTCAAATTCCGATATTTTTCTATTAATTCTTTAAAGATTCCTTTTTCAGAAAAATCGAAATTTCCATAGCTTGAAAATTTCGATATTTCTCCAGAGAATGATAATATTCACAAGCGAATATTTAAATATTTGCTAAATCCTTTTAAGTACACCTGCAAATTTCATTCAGTATGTTCATTCAGTTTAAAGTGGTCCCATTTGGGTTTTAGGAATCATTAAGTTTTTTTAAACCTTTTTTTTATTATTTATTTTTGAAGATTTTGTATAATTTAAGAATGTAGTCAAGTATTAGGTAATTCGTCGACATATTGGGCATTTGTCGTCATTGATCTTAGAATACTGACTGCTAATTTTGGTCTTTCACAATTACATACAGGGTGCAGACTAAAGTCTCTTTTTAACATTCGAACATCTTCGGCTGTATTTATAAAATTAGTCCCCTTTCCCTAAGATCTTTTCGCCGCATTGATTGTGCTCTGTAGTTCATTCTTTTTCCTCCGATCTTGTATCACAACTCTAACTGCACAGTTCAAGTAGCAAAGATCCCTAGAGTTCCTTATGGCTCTTGGTATTTCCGGCAAAATTAAATTCCTAGTGCACTTTGGCATCCAAATAGAGTCTCGGTGCTGCCATCTAGTGTGGCAGAAACTAGACGTCCAAATTAACATGACCAACGGTATCTCACCCATTGTGGTGGTCCTGAAAGAATGGATACCATCTCTGGAGAACGCTCTAGGTCTGCTCATCGGCAAGATCGATTGTGCAGCTCATTGGAAATAAAATAAAAAAATTTAAAAAAAAGTAGCAAAGTAAGCGGTTGGCGCATATAGACTTTTTTTTATACCAAAATACCACTTAAATAAGCATAACCGTAGCCGAGTATTGCTAATTTGAGAATCTGTTACAAAGTGGCAATCTAAGTTTGAACAGAAGTTACGAAAACTATGATAGACCTACTTAATAGCAAGGCAGGAATAATTACGCTGAGTAATTTTATTCAATTTAATTAAAAATAAAGCTTTAGTAAAATTTTAAAACTTTTCCTTCGTTAGAGCAGAAACTTGCCTAATCTTCTGCTAAGTTGCTTGCCCAATTAGTGTGTTAGTTCAGCATTGTTAAAAAAATGAAGTTTTTTTTTTTTTTTATGCATCACATTGTGTCTGTATTATAATAAAATATTCGTTAACTCATCAAGTTTTGATGCAAGGACGTCCCTATAGAAATAAAATTAGAATAATAGAACATAATGATAGCATTCGCAGAACAAGTTTCTGAAAATACTATATAATTAGAACTGTAGAGCCAGGGTCAGTTTCATTAACGATTTTCTCAAAAAGTCAATTATGTAGATGCACATAAGTGTTGGATTCGAAAGAGTCTACTAATTTTTACATTAACTTCCTCAATCTAACATGAATAGTTGCGTGATTTTTTAGATTTTTTATTAGTTTATTTAATACTGAATTTTTAGTTGGATGATGTTTTGATTTCATTTGTATTCATTTTGAGTTTGAGCCACAACTACTTAATTTTTATAAAACGCATTAAAGGTAAAATACCGTTTTAATGAAATTTACTATTTAATGCAATTCAGGATGCTATTTAATTAAAATCAGTGAATCTAGCAACGTTTCGTATGAAGTTTTTCGGACTTTCATTTTGAAATTTCAAGAATTATTTGTTACACAATAATTTCTTTAATTTACTAGTGTATGAAATATTAAACAGTATTAAAACAAACAGACTTTTATTTAACTTGAAAAGTTTTACAAAAAAATGAAATTTTATCCCGTTATTGGGATATTTTTAATTGCAATGTTACGTTAAATTATTTTTGTTAGTGAATTTTATTGATAAAAAGACATTGATTTAGCTTATTTTCTAAAATAAATTTGATTTTTAAGACCATTTTATGTGGTGGGAAGATTGAGATTCAAAACTTCTACTTTTATAAGGTAACCGTGACAACCTTATATTTTTAATCCAGCTTTTCCCAAAAGTGATGTCAGATTTCGATAGTTTGCTTTTTTCTATCCTAAATATGAATTTTCGACCCCTAGCGTGGATATTGTTTGGAGTTTCCTTTTTGACAAGGATTTTAAACATATATTAGAAGTTTTAATCCCTATGAATTTTGTGACAAGGATTTTAAACATATATTAGAAGTTTTAATCCCTATGAATTTTGTGACAAGGATTTTAAAAATGTGTATTAGAAGTTTTAATCCCTATGAATTTTGTGACAAGGATTTTAAAAATGTGTATTAGAAGTTTTAATCCCTATGAATTTTGTGACAAGGATTTTAAAAATGTGTATTAGAAGTTTTAATCCCTATGAATTTTGTGACAAGGATTTTAAAAATGTGTATTAGAAGTTTTAATCCCTATGAATTTTGTGACAAGGATTTTAAAAATGTGTATTAGAAGTTTTAATCCCTATGAATTTTGTGACAAGGATTTTAAAAATGTGTATTAGAAGTTTTAATCCCTATGAATTTTGTGACAAGGATTTTAAAAATGTGTATTAGAAGTTTTAATCCCTATGAATTTTGTGACAAGGATTTTAAAAATGTGTATTAGAAGTTTTAATCCCTATGAATTTTGTGACAAGGATTTTAAAAATGTGTATTAGAAGTTTTAATCCCTATGAATTTTGTGACAAGGATTTTAAAAATGTGTATTAGAAGTTTTAATCCCTATGAATTTTGTGACAAGGATTTTAAAAATGTGTATTAGAAGTTTTAATCCCTATGAATTTTGTGACAAGGATTTTAAAAATGTGTATTAGAAGTTTTAATCCCTATGAATTTTGTGACAAGGATTTTAAAAATGTGTATTAGAAGTTTTAATCCCTATGAATTTTGTGACAAGGATTTTAAAAATGTGTATTAGAAGTTTTAATCCCTATGAATTTTGTGACAAGGATTTTAAAAATGTGTATTAGAAGTTTTAATCCCTATGAATTTTGTGACAAGGATTTTAAAAATGTGTATTAGAAGTTTTAATCCCTATGAATTTTGTGACAAGGATTTTAAAAATGTGTATTAGAAGTTTTAATCCCTATGAATTTTGTGACAAGGATTTTAAAAATGTGTATTAGAAGTTTTAATCCCTATGAATTTTGTGACAAGGATTTTAAAAATGTGTATTAGAAGTTTTAATCCCTATGAATTTTGTGACAAGGATTTTAAAAATGTGTATTAGAAGTTTTAATCCCTATGAATTTTGTGACAAGGATTTTAAAAATGTGTATTAGAAGTTTTAATCCCTATGAATTTTGTGACAAGGATTTTAAAAATGTGTATTAGAAGTTTTAATCCCTATGAATTTTGTGACAAGGATTTTAAAAATGTGTATTAGAAGTTTTAATCCCTATGAATTTTGTGACAAGGATTTTAAAAATGTGTATTAGAAGTTTTAATCCCTATGAATTTTGTGACAAGGATTTTAAAAATGTGTATTAGAAGTTTTAATCCCTATGAATTTTGTGACAAGGATTTTAAAAATGTGTATTAGAAGTTTTAATCCCTATGAATTTTGTGACAAGGATTTTAAAAATGTGTATTAGAAGTTTTAATCCCTATGAATTTTGTGACAAGGATTTTAAAAATGTGTATTAGAAGTTTTAATCCCTATGAATTTTGTGACAAGGATTTTAAAAATGTGTATTAGAAGTTTTAATCCCTATGAATTTTGTGACAAGGATTTTAAAAATGTGTATTAGAAGTTTTAATCCCTATGAATTTTGTGACAAGGATTTTAAAAATGTGTATTAGAAGTTTTAATCCCTATGAATTTTGTGACAAGGATTTTAAAAATGTGTATTAGAAGTTTTAATCCCTATGAATTTTGTGACAAGGATTTTAAAAATGTGTATTAGAAGTTTTAATCCCTATGAATTTTGTGACAAGGATTTTAAAAATGTGTATTAGAAGTTTTAATCCCTATGAATTTTGTGACAAGGATTTTAAAAATGTGTATTAGAAGTTTTAATCCCTATGAATTTTGTGACAAGGATTTTAAAAATGTGTATTAGAAGTTTTAATCCCTATGAATTTTGTGACAAGGATTTTAAAAATGTGTATTAGAAGTTTTAATCCCTATGAATTTTGTGACAAGGATTTTAAAAATGTGTATTAGAAGTTTTAATCCCTATGAATTTTGTGACAAGGATTTTAAAAATGCGTATTAGAAGTTTTAATCCCTATGAATTTTGTGACAAGGATTTTAAAAATGCGTATTAGAAGTTTTAATCCCTATGAATTTTGTGACAAGGATTTTAAAAATGCGTATTAGAAGTTTTAATCCCTATGAATTTTGTGACAAGGATTTTAAAAATGCGTATTAGAAGTTTTAATCCCTATGAATTTTGTGACAAGGATTTTAAAAATGCGTATTAGAAGTTTTAATCCCTATGAATTTTGTGACAAGGATTTTAAAAATGCGTATTAGAAGTTTTAATCCCTATGAATTTTGTGACAAGGATTTTAAAAATGCGTATTAGAAGTTTTAATCCCTATGAATTTTGTGACAAGGATTTTAAAAATGCGTATTAGAAGTTTTAATCCCTATGAATTTTGTGACAAGGATTTTAAAAATGCGTATTAGAAGTTTTAATCCCTATGAATTTTGTGACAAGGATTTTAAAAATGCGTATTAGAAGTTTTAATCCCTATGAATTTTGTGACAAGGATTTTAAAAATGCGTATTAGAAGTTTTAATCCCTATGAATTTTGTGACAAGGATTTTAAAAATGCGTATTAGAAGTTTTAATCCCTATGAATTTTGTGACAAGGATTTTAAAAATGCGTATTAGAAGTTTTAATCCCTATGAATTTTGTGACAAGGATTTTAAAAATGNAATAGCACTTAAAATAAAGTAATGTCTAATTAAAACCTTTTTCTTTAATTTTTTTATGCAATGTAGTGTATGTGTATATTAGAGCAAGAAAATATACTTTTCATTTATAAACTTTGATCTACTTTACTGTCTAACTTAATACTAAATATTGTCAGGCAATAAAATAAGTTTAAAAACTCAATATTGAATGAAATAAAATTATTTATTGTATTTTTCGTTAGTTGACCCAGTGTACCCCATTTGTTGACCCACTGTACCCCTTTATGGGGCACAGTGGGTCAACAAGTAGTACTCTAGAAAAATGTCTTTTTATTGTAAAAAAACATTTTGCTAAATTGTAATAAATTTAATTAGGAGAGCTAATAGATTAGAAAACATAATGCATAAGTTTGATATTCTTTTCTAAGAATATTTTTAGAATTATATTTAAATATCTTAAAATTGACCCACTGTACCCCCTTCTCCCCTATATTAGAAGTTTTAGACCTTATGAATTTGTTAAGTATTTTCTAATAGTATTGTGTTTAAAGCTTGGAAAACTAAATAATGTAAATGCATACCATGTCGGCGATGAAAGTAACAACTGCTGGTCCTATTTGTTCACGAGCATGAACTCCTCCTTGAATCCAAATAACAGGTTTTTGCTCATAACTTTCTGTAGAAACCTTAAATAATGAATAGAACGAAATCAATTAGAAACAATTATTGCTCACTATTTGCTAAAAGTCTAATTTAGTTTTACTAAAGGTTTTATTAAGCATTTTTGAAACTCATGATGTTTACTTAAAAACTAATCAGAATATTAGACAAGATTAGGATATAGGATTGCTATAACTGGAAATTTTTTTACTGAAATTATGGAAATTTCGTAGCAGTTGGAGGATATGATAGTATATGTTTATGTAATTTAACCAGACATGTGACGAAAGGGATAGGGGAATGGTAAAGTTTGAAACTTTGTAACAAAGTAGAAAAAAGTAAAAATCTTTTTTTAGAAAGTGGAGTCATTTCTATGAATGATCCTTCAGAAAGTGGTTTTCAACGTGAACTTACTTTTAGAATTTCTAAAGTTCTGCCTTCAAATGATGAACCAATATCTATTAACGATGTAATGTCTGGATAGGAAGAAGCTATATCTCCAATATACTGACATATCTAGAAATGCAAAATTAACAGAATGAAGTCACTGGCGCTAAAATTACTATGGATAACATTTAAATAAAAGCAACTAATGAACTGAAAACAATGCAAGGTTATACACCTCTTAAACTACTTTAAAAAACAAACAGCAAGTATAATTACAAAACATCAAATAAAATCATAACCATAAATGGATCCTAAAAGATTTAATTAGATTAGAATGTATGAAAACTGACTACAAAATGAAATCATCGTATGCCCGCTCGATGACGTCATGAAACTTTAGAAACAGATTGTTTATGGAAGGAAAAAATTAGAAAGTAGAGCATAATCCACTATAATCCAAGGGCTTTGGCCAAAAACTTGGGATGATCGCTTATACAAATTATGGTCCCCAACACCCGGGTATGTACGACTTTGAGGTTAACCAGACGTCACTTAAAATCACATCAATAGCTCTCATCTAATTGTATTTTATTTTGAAGGCATTTTTAAATAAAATTTAATTTTTAAATAAATTTTCAAAAACAATCAATGTCGCTCCTCCTCTCTTAGTGGGCCGCTGTAAAATTATCAAACGTTAATCTGTCCTCTGCGATAAAAATATTAGGGAGCACTGGTTTATAAGATACCAGCTTGCATCAGTTTCAAGCTTGGCCCAAGAACTTGGACCATATAAACAGGCCTTAGTGCATAAAGACCCGAAATTTCTCCTCTGAAACACGAATCTTCACTTAATTACAATTATTTTTCTGTACACAAATTCGCTATGAAAAAGAAAAACCTTTATTTTCTTATTAGAATTATTAAAACTGCCCTTCATACATTTCATGGAAACTTATTAATCAATTTACTTTTAATTTATATTTAGATGATTTCAGCCGAGCATCGAAAAAAAAGAGGGCCAATGTTTGTAAACATGGTACTTAAATATTTTTTTCTTTGCTCACTAGCACTCCATATTTTTTATAAAAATACAATAAAAAATTGTAAAAATAGCATTAAAGAACTGTGTAAAATGACGAAAACATTTTATAATATTGATTTACCTCATTAAGACTTGGATAGGTACCGTAAAACTGGTATTGAGAAGGAACATTAATTTCAGCTTTTAAATCATCTTCAATGACTCTGAAAAAATTTTTTTTACCTAAAATTAAGTAACTCCTCGAAAAATCACGTTAGTACATTTGCAATTTAAATAAAACATAATTTGAATCTAAAATGTAATTCGGTAATCTAGATATGCTTTTAAGGAATCTTTAGTTTTTCAAATAAACTGACATTTTCTCTAATCGGCAGTATTTTCGATTTGATTTTTCTGACAAAATTATCCAATACAATTCTACAATCAAAAGTTTTTAAAAAGATGGTTGAGTATTATTAATTTGTCTGAGTTTTGAGCAGCGGTGGTTCAGGGGATTGAGCGCTCACCTCCCAATGAGGTAACCAGGGTTCGAAACCCAGCGATGGTTGGTCGAGACTAATTCCTCACCCGGCTAGCACCGACCATAGTACTGACGTTAAATATCTTCAGTGAAAGACGGATCTTTGTCTCCTTGCCACCAGACTAACCGTGTGAGGTTTTCGTGGTTTTCCTCTCCATGGAATTCCATCTACGAAGGTAAATTTCTGCCAACACTTGATACAGGAGTTCCCTTGTCTTCTGTATTGGGTTCAAAAATACATTGCTTGAACACTGGTAGTCTTAAACTCAAAAGTAGGAGGGTTATTCAAAAACAGAATGAAATTTAACTGGGTTAAGATTTTTTTTCTTCGTAATTTACATTAAGAGACTTTTTCAGCATCATCGAAATCGATTTACCAGTTTAAGCAATAATAAAAGTAAATTTTAAAAAATTTGTAAGATAAACGTACTGTAACAAATAGTTTACTCAAAATTATTGCTTTAAATTTGAGAAAACTTCCTCAAAAGCTGTAAGTGCCCTTTCTCCTAATCTAATGCCTTTTTCCTTTTTAAAACAATCGAGTGCTGCCTTATAAATAAATTTGTAATGGGAACAAAATGAAAAGGAATTAAAAATTTAACTTAAAATCTAATCCTAGACCGGAGGTGATTCCGAGGTAACATACTAGTATACGTTACACGCTTTGCGAGATTTTGGTAAAATGTCGCTAACGCGGAAATGATGTACTATTAAAGCTTGTCGCCAAACGATTGGTATACCCGGGCAGTGGCATTTAAAAAACAGCGGTGTAGGGCATTGGTTCTCAACGGGGGCGATACCGCCCCCCTGGGGGCGTTGGGAGTATGCTGAGGGGCGGTGAACTTGTTTTGGGCGGTACGGGGGAGTTGGGTATGTTTTGGGCGGAAGGGGGGCGATGAGCATGTTTTGTCATTTAAATTCAATTTTAAAACAAAAAAAAGTTATTAAATTAAGACTTATTTAATAAATAAAATTAATCTAAAATTAAATTTTAAAAAAAAGTTTAAATTAATATAATAAATAAAGATTATCCGATACACCATTTGCACCATCAATAAAACGAACTTATACAACTCCTATTCTCCGATCCGTGCCAACACAGTTCAGCGCATGAGTCAGTAGTTTTTGCCTCTGGCTCATTCAAGTCATTTGGTGGAAATTGAAGTGCATGCGCTTTCAGTATGAATTTTTGATTTGACCAGTATTTCTTATGATGGTTTTCGTTAGCTTCCTTACGGTTTTCTCTCCAGTTTCGATTAGATTTCATAGTTTACTTGGCCAGGTAAGTGCGCGAATTAGTTTTTATCAAAAATTATTTATTAATTTTGAGAAATAGTTGATTTTCTTTTATGCTTTGTATTTTGCTGCCACCAACAATGTCGGTTAACAAAACGAAGTGTCATAAATACAGTGCCACGTTCTTGAAGTTAGGATTTGTTCAATCATTGTTGAACTCTCAACTACCCATGTGTTTGCTTTATAATAAAGTTTTATCTAATGAGGTACTGAAATCTTACCGTTAGCAGGAGCATTTAAAAAAAAAAACGCATAAAAACAAAATATAACAAATAAATGAAAACGCGTAAAAACAAACAAAATAAAGATTTGTCATTTTTCATGAACATCTTTTTTCATGTTTCTGAAGGCATCTTCGGTCTCAGGGTTACTAGCAACCTCATCACAAAAATGCGACGATGGTTTGATAGTTTCTTTTAATATATTAAAATTTATTGCTAAATCTGGGAAGCTTATACCATCGGAACAGAGTTGATACTGCCGGTTGTCAAGGAAGTTTTAGAAATAGTTTTACACCATTCAGCTGCATCCACTGTGATAAAAAAATATCCCATAAGCAACGATACAGTGCAGTGACGAAATGTTGAGATGGCTGAAGACGTTGAAATTTCTTTATGCAAACTTTTGATATCCAACGAACTTTCCCTTCAAGTTGATGAATCTACCTTGCCAGGTAATGTAGGCTCTACTGTAGGCATAGGTCCGGTTTGTAAAGGTAGGAAAAATTATTCAAGATATGCTTTTTGCAAGAAGCTTGATTGTAGATATCAAAGGTAAATGTATTTTTAATACTGTCAAAGACCATTTTAAAGAGAAAAACATTCCTCTTGCAAATATTATGTCTATTGCCACTGATAGGCTCCTGCAATGGGGGCCGACATCGCCCTTTTGGAAAGATAGGTAACAGATATTTTTAGCAGTTCACTGCGTGATTCACAGATAGCATTTAGTAGGAAGAAATCTTAGCGACCGTTCGCATAAATCATTGCAATATGCCATGTCTGCTGTGAACAAAATTCATAGTAATGCTCTCTACGATTGATTATTCAGACAGCTGTGTAAGAAGAACAATGAAGAATTCAATCGCTTGCTACTATACACAGAGATTCGCTGATGGTTTTCCAAAAGCTTCTGTCTCAATAGGCATTGGAATCTTTTCGACTCTATGCTTGAGTTCTTCGGTAACAGAGATGTATCTCTGAGGGGCAGATTGCTGGAATTTAAGAAATACTTTGGCAGATTCATCTGTAAAATTTAAAGGTAATAATTTACATCTTCAAGACAACAAGCTCAATTTGATCCCTACAAAATCAGTTATTTCTGCCTTCTTAAAGAAGCTAATTTTGTGGAAGCAGAATTTTGGTTGGAATGAGTTCAGCCAAGCAGGAGAAATTCGCTCTGATGATGCACAAGAATATTGTCAACACCTTGACTCTTTGCACATAGACTTTTCTGACCGTTTTAAAGATGTTTTGTTCCCTAGAAGTGCCTCAATGGGCTTATAGGTTCTGAACACTTTTGTGAATATTGAAACAGCAGAGGTTCAGATTTGGTCGAACTTTTAACTAATGAAACCTTGAAATGGTGATCATCTCATAGAATTTTTGCTTAAAGGTAACGTCAGTCGTCTCTATCCTGGACTGTAGACTACCATTAAAATTTTTTTAATTGCCATTCCTTCCTCCTAACTTGTCGGACGTGGATTCAGTGCTGTTACAGATCTTGTCACAAAAAGGAGAAATAGACTCGAAATTGTGCAGCGAGTGTACTTGCGTCTTCATCTAAAAGTATTGAACCGACTGCTAAGAAATTGATTCTGAACCATTAAGTACAATCATCCCACCAACATAGTTACTTGAATGTTTAGTTGATACTTCTTTTTACTGTTAAAAAAATATTTTGGATGCTTTTTTATTTATCTAGTTAAAAATAAATCATTTTTTAAGCATAGGTTTCTTTGTTGTATTTTTTTCTTCTTAAACGTATTTATTTTTATCATAACAAATAGACTGCGTTTACCTGCCATGAGAAAATTATCGAGTTAATGTACATTTTTTTTAAAAACAAAAACAAATTTAAAGCATAAAAAAATTGCTTAAAGATGTTGCTTCTTATAATTCAGCACACCTCCCTCCGTCCCCATGATCTAAATAACTAGATTTTCACGAAGGGGGGTGTTGAAATACTTATTGCTTCTTAAAGGGGCGGCAACGTTAAAAAGGTTGAGAATCTATGGTGTAGGGTACACCGGGCAAACGTACACCGGACAGTGGCACTGAAAGAGAAAAACTAAAACTCAATTAGTAAAAAAATAAATGTCTACCCAAATCTACAACTACAAAATTCCAAATTTTATCGCCTTCCCAAAGATAATCAATTTCACTAAATCCAACATGCAACGTAAACTCGGATTAAACCAGATCCAAGAGATACCACTCAATTCCTTTAATTCTTCGCGAAATCGAAACTTAAGAGCAAAAAGGTAGTAAGTTCAAATTTAATCATTGAAATTTAATGAAAATGATATTTCAACGTCATGTGTTTGAAAATTAAATATATGATAATGCAGTGATAACTGGTTCTGACCCTTTCCTGATATAATCGGAAAATACTTTTATTTCCAGATATTTTAGCCAAAATATTTGTTTAAGAAGCGAAAGATTACTTTCTTTTCTACAACATATTTCAATTTCTATAACACTTTTTTTTTCTTCCTCAAATGAACAGAGATGAATGTTAAAAGCTGCTACATTTACTGTTACTTCCTAGATTGAAATAAATGGTAACATGTTCTGCAATTTATTTATGCTTTAAATATAAGTAAACAGTTATTTTACGATGACCTTCTACATTGAACTTTTCTTAAAGTATAATCTAAAAAGATGTTATAATTTGAGTACTTAGGGTTCATACGCACCTGGAAAATTAAAAAGTGGTAGTAATATTAAAATAAAAAATTTTTTGTACTATGTATCTACCAGAAAATTTTCTTTTCTTTAAGTGAATACATCAAGAACCGAAGGTAGCAAAAATTAAATTGTTTTTTGATAGTGGAAGCCGATAGAAATTTTCAACTTCCTTGTAACAAAATTGATACCAGTAAGTTTTTTTCCAGGTGCGTATGAACCCTAGTACTTTCAGTACGCACAGGGTGTTACTTAAAGACCGCCCTTGATAAGTATTTTTAGAATTTTTAATAAAAGGGAAACAAAAATGCGCATACATTAAGCGTCGCAAATTTATATTCAATAGACTAAAAAACACTATCGATATTTGACCAATTATCGTAGAGAAAGGAAGATTTAATGAACTGTAAAACACGTTTCATCGGAGGTTGAAACATGAAGATGTTTCTAATAATAGTTTCCCCTCAGAAATAAACCTCCCGTTGATTATTACTCCCACCTTCCTACACTATGATTTGACATTTTTTTTCTTCTTCGGTTAAACATTAATTTGCGAACCCTAACTTTGATTTTTGATAAGAATTCGAAAAAATAGATTAAGGTCGGTCTTTACGAAACATCAAAAATTTATGAAATATGACATTTTGTAGAATGTTTAGTGATTGTAGAGAAGTACTTAAATTCGCCAAGCAAAATGAATACACGCAATGTCTTTAAGATTGACTCATGTCAAACCCATGTTTATTCTATACTGTGACTCGAAAAATTCTTCTAATTCATGTTTGCCTAAAGCACCTTTGCAATTCTGTTGAATGCCTAAGCATTCTATTCATTGACAAGGCAAAGTATGTTAATAATTCTCATAATTCATACTTAGTCTAAAAACGCATACTTTGTTTAAAATGTCCAGCATTTCATACATTGGCATTAACTTCTAACATACAAAAATGTACTTTTCAGAATAACAAAACAAAAAAAATTTAACGTAATTTAAAAAAACATACGTACTTCCCAACATCAGGCATCAGAATTTTATATGGTATTCGGAATCTATTTAAATTTTTAGTTGTGCTATTTGCAACAGATGGCGCTACCATCACATCTGCAGATTTGTTCACTGCTGTCGTTTGTAGCCAAAAGTCCAACTATAGTATAAAACACAAAGTATATATCATTAAAACAATACATTTTTCTTTTCATTTAATCCTAATTTTTACGTTTAAATATACTCTGTTAATAAGAAGTAATTTTCTGTACTAGTAAACAGAGGTACAAAAAATAATATTTACCATTTTGTACTAGGGCATTTACCACATTTTCTGTCAATGCGATCTTAGCTGTATTGGTCAAACTAGACGCGCTTTAAAATGTTGACTTAAGGAACACTATGTGTGATAAAACAGTCATGGGAACTTTACGGCTATTGAGGAACTTTTACGGCTGTTTTTTGGGTAACTAAATTTTTTTAACCCTATTGTACTTTACATAAATGTTTATCTAGTTAATGTATTAGCTGATATTTCAAAAGTTTCACATATCTTGTAGGGAAGTGTCTTTCAAATAAATTTTCAAAATAGTTTTTTTTTCTTTTTTTATTAACTATTATAGAAATAAATTTCATTCCACAAAATACTTCAAAAAATTTATGCATTTAAAAATTTACAGTAATGAAATTATACGGTGAGTAAATTCGGATTAAAAAAATTTCTATACGAAAAGTCTTACTTCAGCAATTAAATTAAAACAATGTTTTGAAATAAACCTGAAAACTTGTCATTGTATTATATATATAAAAAAAAGTAAAATGCACAATTTTACAATACAAAATACATGTTTTAATTTAAAAATATCGCAAATAATTTCTAGGAACTGGGTATATGCTGACTGGAGAAGGTTTTGCAAGTAGAGACTTTCATCAGGTAAACTGTGACTGATGTGCACTGGAGGATCTTAAGCACAAAGCAGTATTACCAAGTTTATCTATTTCTAAAATGGGGGAGAGGATATCATTCAGTTATGTACTTTACATGCCACTAGAGCTGCTCTATGAACTATTGGTGTCGGTCTGGGAAACATTCCAGATGATGATCCACAGTTATACCATCACAATTTTGATCCTCTGCATAGTTGAACGGCACACACGAATTTGAACACTTAACGGTAGAACAGTTTATCGATGACTAACACCACGTATCCTTAGTTCTTTCGCGAGCTGATCAAAGAGTTTACCCACCCGCTCACTAATCACAGGCCAGTGATACTAGACTTAGATATTTGGTAAGAACCGTGCTTATCGATCACTGTGGAACAGTTATGAAAAAATAACAGATATATAGTTATATACTATTGTAAATTAATGGAAACAGTTGGCAGACTGTTTCTTAGAGCCAAAAGTGCCGGAGAAGATATTTTAGAATATTTCAGAAACTGATAGTCAAATTTTTTTCAAATAGTTTTGTATTTGGTTTAATAAAATAGGGTAGTCTAAAAAGAATATCAAAATAGTTTTACAATTTTGTGATCAATATTAAATAGAATAATCTATAATTTTATGTATTAAGCAATTTTGGGTATTAAGCAAATTTTTTGGGAAGTTTTAAAAGAAAAAATTATAAAAGTATTTCATTATGACCGGCCTTAATACATGTTTTTAGAACTCTTCAAAAAAAGTACTGTCTCGAATTAATATTTAAACGAGGAAAAATAAACGGGAAAAAAGGCAGGAGTTAAGTTTCAACTGGCAATCAAGTTTTTACGTTTGTAAGCCAATCTTTAATAGTTTTGTCGGATTCCGATAATTTTTTCTCCGCTTAAATATTAATATAGAGCCCCATAAGTATATTCTTTGTCTTCAAGTCTTTGTATTCTTTGTCTTGACAAGAATTCTGTAAACATATATTGAGGTCAGTATAGTTATGGAACACCTTTTATTTTGATTCACGCAATTATCTCTAGATGACGAAAAAATTCTAGGGGTAAACATAACGTTAAAGCATTCTCCAAAGCCTTGGTTGCTCAGGGGATGGAAGGTTCCCCTTTTCACAATATACCCATCCGGGTTCGAATCACAGTATTGACTGCATGATAAGAATTCTGCTCCCGGCTTGCGTCGACCATAGTGCTGTGGTAAAATATCTTCAGTGATAGACTGAGCGTGGGTTAGATTTCTCTTGCAGTCGGGAATGGATAACCGTGCGTTACATCCATCGAAAAAGTTCTCACGACGGCTACGTTTGACCCAATGCTTTAGTCTCGAGTTCCATTGTCTTCTGGGTTGGATACAAAACTATACAAGGCTACGGTGTTGAACATTAATAGTCGTAAACTCAGAATTCGGTCGGCTGTTTAACATCGGTTATAAAATAGAAAGAATTCTTCAAATTTCGACCTAAAAGTAGAAACGGAATAAAAACATTGTCTTAGAGATGGTTTCAGGAAGTGTTCAATCTAGAGTGCCTTCTCTAGTTCAAACAACTCCTCTGGCAAAGCTCTGGGACAAACACCGTGTTTAAATTAAGTAGTTTAAAAAACCGCGAAATTCCCTTTAAAAGGGAATTCCCTTAATTCTACTCTAGCCTTTTGATGAGGAAGGGGATTATTTTTCTATTTCTTAAAAAAAAAAGATGAAAAAAATACTACAGAATCATTTACTAGTACCCTTTAAAAAAACAAAACTACGGGAATCTAATTATGGAAAAATTATGTTGCGTTAAACGCATTAAAGCAAAACTGAACATTTTACCCCATTTCCTGGAATTGCAGTCATGTTCAACAGATACTGAAGTTGCTGTTGATTAACAGGTGTTATTCTAATCAAGGAGTAACTGAAATATAAGATAGGGAAAAAAGTAGTAGAAATCTATTAGACTAAAGGGAACATTCTGCGATGTACAGGAAAATGTAAGTTACCATCATCATTTTATTAAATTTCTCTACTTTAAAATGTAGATAAGAATTTGACAAAATTCTTTACATTCCCCTCCCCGTGATTGCTAAGCAATGAGTTAATCTGAAAAGATTTTCCCTAGACCTCGTAGAACGTTCCCTTGCAAATAAAAATAAAATATATAAATTTTGAAATTAATGAAACATTTACATATAAAGAGTGTTCCGTGCTGACCACCTTTTTCATACTTTTTGAATTTCTTATAAAAATGTATGCAAAAATATTAAATATCAACACGAGGGATCGCAAATTGATAGTTTAGCAAAGAGAAAGTAAAGCAAAAATTTTCGAAATTTAACGAAACAGTACTGGGGAAAGCGGAACTTGTTACCCTAAAACAAAGAGACGAGATATAGTTCAATTAAAAACTACTGCAAGTTTCGTCAGGCAATCAAACACGTTTGGATGCTTTTATTCTTCCTCGCTAATAGTGCGTTAGATTTAGATAGCGTTCCTGTTTCTCCCTTGATTAAATATTAATTTGCGACCATTACTTAATTGATTACTTTTTTTTAAAATTTCATTCATAAGTCAAAATTATTAATGCAAGTTGTTTTTAAAAAAAAAAATTGGCAATCTATAATTTCTAAAACTGTCAATTAAGAGAAAATTTGCGATTTGCTTGCATGAAGAATATTTGCGAAAACTATATTCCATTTAAATAGTTATCGTGTGGAATGAAATAAGGTAATATTAACTAATTTTATTTCTTCATTTTACGTTGCTTACTGTCAGTATAAATCTACATTAAAAATTCATAAAAGTTTTAATCGCTGTTTTGTGTGATAAATTCAACGTTTACATTTTGTCTTGCAGCGCCAGAATTTAGAAATTACTAAGGAGTGTAAAAAGTGTACTGAGATTATGATGGAATAAAAAATTTAATATTCGGATAATTTATTCAAAATTTATTAAATGTTAAACTTATTGGAAAAATACCATACGGACCGCTTTACAGGTTGCAGGAAGGCAACTGCAGAGTTGAAAGTTGGCATGCTGAAAGGGTGACATTTGTTTATGACCTTAACACGAGAGTTCTTTTAGAAATTCCAATTTGTTCCAAAGTTTTGCACATTCAAGTGCTTTCTGGAAATTTACATTTTGTTAACATTTGCTTAAAGTTACATCTTGCATTATTGCACAAAATTAGTATAACTTTGAAACATGAAAGTACCAAAGTGTGTAGAAAAATGCACACGGGGTTCGATGTAATAAAAAAAAAAAATTACTATTCGATTATTTAGAGAAACTGTTCAACTTTTAATAAAAAAAAAATACATGATCGATTTATTTGTTTGCTGAAATGCAATAACAGAGTAGTTATGTTCTAAATTTTCCTTCAATATATATGTTTTGGAGAGAAAAAAAATTACAGAAAAAATGAGTAAATAAAACACATTGCATTATTTACCTTTAAATTTGTTTCATTATATTTTTAATATCAGAATTTAACAATGTGACATATTCAATCACTTTCGATTGCATAAAAGTAGAATTTTTTTTCTTAAAATTTAATAGATACTTTGCGCAAGGTTCTTAAATTGTCGATCAAGCACTCATTTTGTTTTAAAAATTTTTAAACTGTTTTAAACATAGTATCTTAAATCAGGCACAATAATGTAGAAATAATATATATGGTGTTTAGCGACAACCCCTCATAATTTATACAAAATTAAGAAGAAAAAAAAAGATCTACACATTTTCAGAAGTAAAATATTTACGCGAGAAAAATGCAAAAAAAAGTTATTAAAATCTGACGAATCCCCTATTGAAAAAGATTTAAAAATATCAAAAGCAGTTTGATAGTCTATTGAAACATGATCATATATTTACACAGCTTTTAATCATATTTATATCACATCTCAATTTTCTCAGGCAATTCAAGTTTTTTTTTATTTTTTATTTTTTTTAAATCTTGCCTTTCACGTTAATTATTAGTCAGTTTTCGATCCCCTTTTTCCCCTCTTAAATATGTTTTAAATACTTTTCAGAATAATTTTAAAAATATATGTTAAGGGTGGTCTTTCTGAACACTCTGTATGGTCCTTACTTCATAAATAATCAAAAAAGTTATTTTGAAAAAAAAAAAAGAAAAAGTAAAAAACATTTTTTTAAATTGAAACTTTTAAAACAAGGACAGTAAAGAGAAGAAAAAAACATCTAACTTACCCTCGATAACTTATTTTTCTCTGACAAACTGTGTAGCCCGTCAGGATTAAAATAATCACAAATATCTTGAAACACACTGTGATAGTCATTGTTAATTAAAATAGCAGAGAAAAAAAGATGTCAATTGCTTTAAACTAAACTTAAAACCTGGATGTTAAATTTCAATACTCGGATAGCTAGAGAGATCCAGGTATGTAGAGAATGCAGACACAAGTCAGACAATATAAATAAATTAACTAGTTAAAATGTTGTCACTTGAGTAAGCCTAAACTATTTTTATCCTTTTCAATGATCTGGATAATGTCAACCTCAGAACAACTAGGTTTAAAAACTATAATGAGCTTGAAATTTAAAGGGCTTAAGATTTAAAATGTCGATTAAAACCCGCAATTTTAAGAAACATAGAAGACCGTGACTTGGAAAATATGATAACACAGCAGAAAAATTTGCATTTATGTTCCTTGAGTATACTCTAAAAAATAATGCTAATGGTGCACACCAAATTTTCAAATTGGAGAACAAAAAGTGTTAATTCCGATCTCTGAAACCAGCTGAACTTGTTAAACTTTTCAGTGCAACTCCGGTAGTCCTACTATTTGAAGGAACCCAACTTTTATTCGAATGTAATTCTCAAGTGAAAGTTGTTTAACTTTATTATTCATATATGAATTTGTTTATTGCTTTATTTAAATTACATACATTTGCAGACTTCTTTTCTCAATTTAGGCTTTGTCAAATAGAAGAACAAATTAGAGAAGGACGTCACAAAGAACATATATCCAGGGTTAAGGCAGGATTCGAGCCCGCCACCTCCAGGCTTTGCACAGCATTTGGCGGGCGATACCGCTCGGACAGGGAGGCCCCTAAATGTGTTTATTTTATTGTTCACATACATATGCAAGCTTGTGTTTTCAATACAAAGAACGGCTAATAAACCCTAGCCAATTTAGCGATAAAATTAAGAAGGTCAGCACAAACATAATATGCAGGATTGAGACGGGTTTCGAACCCGATACCTTCACGTTTCAGAGCGTTTGATTGGACGATAATATCCTTTGGCTACGGAACCGATAAATCTGCAGACTTTTTCAGTGGTAGTAAGTTTGTTTGCGTACCACAAGAGCTGCATAACGGGCTATTGGCTTCGGTCTAGGAAGCATCTCTGGGAATGATTCGAAGATCCATATGCCATCACAATTTTGTTCTTCTGCACTCCTGTTCTTTGTTGTTCTGAGGGATGATTCCCCGTTTTGGTAGTCCGACGACTTGTAATCCAGCACTTAACGGAAGAACAATTTAACTATGAGCGATACCACACATCATAGATCCCTTTGCTTGCTGATTAAAGTGGTCCCCCACCCACTCACTGACCGCTACCAACATTGCTACACTTCAGTGATCTACTGAAAACGATTAGTCCACGATGGAAAGCCGAATTTTTTAGTATTAGTAAACCCATATAGGTAAAGGCTTTTGGTTCAAGTCCCGAAATCTCCGATTCGCTTTTAACGTCAGTGGATAGTGTAAACGTCGATAAAGAATTAGAAAGTTTGTTTGCATGTTCAATACAAACAATGAGTTTTTAGCCCTTGATAAATTAAGTGACAGCACAAATAACTGTACAACCACCAAGAGAGAATAATAAATGATGAATTCTGGGATATAGGGGATCGAACCCGCTGTCTCAACCCTTCAGAGCGATTGGTGAAATGGCCGTACTTCTGAAATCCGCGTTGCTTCTTTATTAATAATATTCAAAATGTGTATGTTTTCGTTCAGAGAAAAGAACGACTTATAAGTCCATTTCAAATTAAAGATAACCAGCACAAACTATAAAACAGGATCACCAAGGGCGTCGGCAGAGTACTATAAAAGGGGGTGCATCCCTCTAACAAAATACCCCCCCCCCCNACCCCCCCCCCCCCCAATTTTTTTTTTTCAAATATTCTTCTTTATTGTTAACAAGATATTTAAAAAAAACGAATTTGTTGTACTTGCAAATTTTGCTACGAGAAACTGTATTGATGGCATAGCTACTGACTTTGAAACACAAATAACTACAAACAGTAGTTTCGTATACTAACGTGTTTGTGCACGCTTAACATTTGTATTTATTGTGTTGATGACGTTTTACAGTTGTGAGAAGTCAGTTTGTGTTATACACCTTTGTTAAACTAAATAACTAATAGAAACTATAATATTATTTATATTTTATTAAATGAAATTTAAAAATATAGCTTAGATATCTGCCAAGTTTGTACATGCTCAGTGTGCATAAGAAAAGAATCAAAGATGACTCAGAATTCATTGAAAAAGTTATAAGCAGATTTGGACAGCAAACAAGACGATTACAATTCTTGTTTGATTAAACAATTTTTTAATTGTTATGTATCAATAATTACTTAATTATTTGTTTTTGAATAAAAATATTTTTAATAAAATTTTTTTATAACAAAATTTTTTTTCTGTATCTCTTTAATTGTTTAAAAAAAAGCCAGGGGGACGCAAGTGCACCCTCTTGGACCCCGCGCCCTTGAGGATCACAAAATCTCAAAGGTGCATTCAAGGTTACGACCCTAACGGAACAAGGTTTTAATTTTTTTCATCGACTACAAACAGTCGTAATAAAACCGATTTACCAATTAGTTAAACAATCCACACTCCTTCCTTTGCGATGAAATTCATGATGGACATCGTTGAGAACTCCTTAAAAAACTGGGCATACAATTTTCGATGGGAACGGAATTAAAATTCACGAATAAAAAAATTCAAGGATGTGAAGGATATTTTGAAAAAAAATTTCCATCCACAATGTCTACAAAATTATTAATTTTTTTTCATGTCTTAACTTAGTTAAATTTGAAAAGATGGTGATTCAATAATTAAATGTCCAATATATTAGAGACTTTTAAAAATTTCTAATTATTTTGAGGGGGTAAATACTAATAATTCCCTACGTCAGTGTCCCGCAGTGGACTGATCGTTAAGATACGGTTCCCAGCAGATCACCGAAGTCAAGCATCACTGGCTGCGGTCAGTGTGCGGGTGGGTGACCACTTGGATCAGTCTGCGTAGGGACCGAGGGTGTGCGGTATTGGTCCTCGTTAAAATGTTCTATCGTAAAGTTCTCGACTTTGCGTGCAGGTCGTCGGGATACCGAAGCGGGGGTGCCATCCCCTCTGCAGAGGATCAAAATTGAGATGGCATGTCTTCGGATCATCCTCAGGGATGTTTCCCAGACCGTCGCCAATTGCCCATTGTGCAGCTCTAGTGCGACGTAAATGAACAACAACAACCCTACGTCAGTGTTTCCCAAACTTATGACTTTCGTGTACCCTTTCTAAATTTTCGTAACGTTGTGTACCACTAATAAAAAAAATTTATATTTTAAAAAATATGCTTATTTTTCTTTTTTGGTACAAGTTTTGTTAAAAAGTTTATTTGCATCAAGTGAGAAGGATGATATTGTGTTTGCTGTGATAAAAAAAATTGCACACAAGTTAACAAATCACAACTGGCTGTTGACACCACCAATTATTAACTGTTAACTCTGCAAAAAATAGCTAATAGAAAAATACGTAATCGTAAATATTCATGCCTATAGCTTTGTTTTCAAATAAAATATTTTGAAATTTTCGTTTGTTGCAAGATATTTCGCATAAGAACGCGTACCCCTGCTAAACTGTTCCCGTTCCCCTGGAGGTACGCGTACCACACTTTGGGAAGCACTGCCCTACGTAAACGATACCCATGCTGAACACATATCCGTCTCAAATTATTTGCACAGTCATTAATCAAACGCGGCACAGTTTGACTATTGACTACATTTTCTGATTTTTAATTGCGATCATTTTTTCATTTATCATTTCGCTACAGGTGTTTGACGCATTTTCGTCCTGCGGCCGGATATGTGCGATTCGATTGTAAAATATCAACTAGAACTTTTATCAACTATTCTATAACTACCCTGAAATAAATTTTTATAAAATTGATAATTTTGGGGAAAAGCATTGACTTAAATTTCATTCGACCATGTACAATTTTATAGTTTAAAAATGATATAAGCAGAGGGAGTGAAATTGCCGAACCTAAACATTCTAATTTTTCTGAAATAAGTTTTTAGGAAGAAAAAAAAAATACTTATTCCTAAAATACTATTCCTATGTAAAATACTATTCCTATGTGGCATTTTCTTAAAATAGCATTTAAAGACTGACAAAAAAATCACATTTAAAATTGTTTTTACTAACGAGGGAACAAAATTGGGTGTTCAGAGAAACTTTATATACTGTGGTGCACTAAAATGCTCGCATAACTCAGTTGTTCTAATTTTACATTAAAATTGTTCGTATTGTAAATTTCACGCACCTCAAGGAATATTTAAAATAAACTACTAAGGAAACGGTATTTAGGTGAAGCTGTTTCCCACTATACAATTATTCCTATCATGAAGTATAGATATGAAGCCATAAAGAGCTGTGGGAAGAGTAGATACGCTACAGTACTCCCCCACCAGAATTATAGCTGTGATAGAATTCGATACATGGATACCACTAGTTGCTGCATTTGTGACAGACCAGGAGAGCTGGATTAAGGTCACCGGGTTTTGAACATTAGTCATGAGTAGGACTGGGCTATAAATCGATGTATCGAGACATATCGATTTAACGCATATATCGGCAAGACGATACAGCGACTTTCATTCAAGGCGATGCATCAGAAATCTGATTTAAGCCATCGAGCAAAGACAACGAGCGCAAAACGATATAGCGATATAAGACACGCAAGGATATAAGAT